TGAGCATCCTGGGCACAGCAGAAACACACATGCACATACGCAAGCATGCACGCACCCACACATACACATATTTGAGTATGTGTGGTGGTCTCTCGCAGCCTGCCGGGTCTGGGTCCAGTGCCAGGCTCCGTCTTGGGCTCTCCACAGAATAAAGAGTGGGTCTGTTCCCCAGGCCTGCTGCACGGGATTCAGCCACTGTTCACCCTCTGCTCCTCAGACAATACCCATTGTTCTACTTTTTAATGAAGAAGAGTCAACATGGAGGGGTAAGATTAGTCACATCCTGGGTGTAGGAGTGTGAGAGATGAAGGGGTCACTGTCTTCACACAAGTAGATGACATGCCAACACACGTTTCTGTTTTTTCATGTGTTCATAGGGGGCCGTAAAACCAATACAAGTAACTCCATCAAATTCAGAGGAACTGCAGTTAATAATTTACTGTTTTTGTCACTGCGAGAAATCACTTCTTATTAAGTATAATCATTTGACCCATATTGCATAATTGATAAGTGCAGCTTTAAATGCAACTTCCGCCTGATTTTAAAAACTCTGATCAGTTTGTTTAAGTGTAGCTGAATACTTCTGGAGAAGGTTTCAGGTTGAACTAGTGTTCAGGTAAAAACAAAGCACGGCTACCTTGGACCTGTCAATGTGACGAATTCGACTTCAGTTGAACGTGAAGGCGACTCATGTGATTAATCTGGGGAGTACATTTCAGATTGCAGTGCCTCACAGCACAAATAACAGCAGCTAGTGGCACTTCAGCAGCCTTTAAACAAAGCAGCTTAGATGTAATCTGGGCAGACTATTGAGAAGAGCAGCTACAACAACAGCTAAGCCTATAGTCCCCATATGGCATTTCAATAGTAATGGCTGTTAACTTCTCTGCCTCCATGTCAGCAGTGATGATATCCAGCAAACACCACGGCCCTGAGATTGAAGTGGATGGGATCCTGGATGTGGGTGCAGTTTAATTTGATGTCAACTCTGTGGTTAGCTGAGGCAGAGGAGCAGGCATGAGGCCTGAGCTGCATTCCTGTTAGACACAGTCATTTTCCTGTGGTTCGGTGTGAAGCATATAGACCGGCTCATGCTGTACATGTGACTCACAGAGATTGATTGCAGTCATTTCACATGTGCCCTTATAGACCAAGAGACAAAAATGCCACATTGAGGCTTTGCTTATAACCTCTAATGGTCGGCGAAATGACAACGTTGGATTGATTAGGCAATAAGTGCAGAGTAAATTGATCTACCAGGATGTTGATATAACTGGCCATAAAGCAGACTCACGAGGATATCAGCATTGAGCTGTGCAGGGTAAACATCAACAGTGCTGTCCTAATACCAGCTCATCTTCATGTGCAACCCATCCTCTTCTTTAGACTTATGTCAGTAAAACTATGGCAACCACAGGAGAGGCGCAGGCTCGCAAAAATGCTTCCAAGAGTAACTACTGAGCCATTTTACCCTGGATGCTGTACAAGAAAACGAAAACTACAATCAGTAACATTACAACAAAATATCCAAAGCAAAGAGAAAGCCTTTAACACACACAGCAAATCGCTTATGGAAAAAAAAGTGAATGAATTCTTGTTTACGCCCGTTTAGAAATCTAACCCCCCCTTTCATTACTTTAAACAATGAATATTTGGGTTTAATCTTCACCTCACTTCACAGCCAAGGTCACATGTGAATTTGCCTCTCTTATCATGGCAGAGGCCTTGCATTACAATTAGCCTAAGTCTATTTCCAAGATCAGCCCCTGGCTCCAGGGATTCATGAGACAGAGACTTCAATGGGAGCTTTTCTTTTAGTAGAAAATGCCGACTAAGCCGGCAGTAAACCCAGGTTTTTTTTCCAGAGAGTGGTACTACAATCGTACAGAGCCAGATCCCTGTATGTGACTAGTAAAAAGCCAAACCAACTGAAAACACCGGTATGCAAGCTGGCAACTGCTGCTATGATACCACACACACTTTCTACCACTTTGAAGGGGTTGAAGCCAATTAAAATTACACTCAGTTCAGATTCAGATTTAATTAAAAAGAAAAATCTTCATATTTACTAAGATAAAAATCAACGACATGTCCACAGAAATTGTTCTTCATACTGTACAAAAATTAATGGAAGTTAATTATTCTTTTGTAGGAAAACAGGGCTGACATCACCATATATGACATCTGTTACCAGGCACAATTGATGTTTAAAAGATGGGTACTGAATGTCAGTACAGTTTCAGTTTATGTTTGTGTTGAGTATCAAAAACGCAAGTATGCAAAGTTAAGCAGCTAAATGGTTGGTCGGGGTCATCAGCCTTGTATTTCAATTATCTGATCAGATATAATTCCAGTTTAACATTAGATTATTTTAGACTGTACTTTATTCAGGTATAGCTCTTGTATGGCTGCTTGTGTTAACAACATGAAACACTGATGCGAATAAAGCATTGTAATAATGTAGAATAATAATCTAAAGGATTATCAACCTAGAAAACTGATGCAAACCCATACATCATGTTAAAAAGCAGCAGCATCATCTTCTAATGCTGGAACGCTATAGGCTAATATTATTTGTAGGTCTAAGAGTCAATTTATACAACTGAGGATCCACAGTGATTTCTGAAGGAATTAGTCATATACAGTATGTGGTCTGCTCAGATGATAAAACTCATGAGTCACTGTCTGAAAGGAGGCACTGTCACAGCATATAGCGTGGACCCCAACTCAAATATTGTGTCCTCAATAAGAAATTTAAGGGTTTTCAGAGGTGAGCGCTTGAATGTGGTCGCACACAGAACAAGTCTTTAATCCAAACGGTTCCCTACTGTGATCCAGGGCTTTCCTGTTGATCAAACCTGCCAGCAATAAGGTGACGCAAGTCTCTAGTTTATTGCAAGTCCAAAATATATGGCATTTTAAAACAAAAATCTGTTTGTTATATTTAATGACTTATTAAGCAGGGCACTGGTGAAAACAGATTAATCAAAGCATTGTGGGCATTGATGGTGACGGAGTAAAGCTGATCAATTGCAGACAATATCAGAAATGATTAATGAGTATGTGAAAGAAGTGTTGATCAGCAGCCAAGTACATTTAAATCTTTATTTATCACTCTTGATAACCACTGATATGTTGGGTTGCAAAGTCAACAGAGAGGTATCACACTTCTCATGTGCCATTCCAACTGAGAAGTGAGGTCATCAGAGTCACACAGTGCCACTCACTCAGGCAATCAATGGAGCCAACTGCCATCAGGCACGGCTGAGACACATTAGGGTTTAAATGGCAGTAAATAACACTAAATGCTGTGATTATAGCACTAAATTCTTCTAATGCTGGAGGGCTTCCATCCCGCCAAGAGCTGAGGCATCATGCTGGCAGCAGGGAGGAGCAAGGGAGGGAGCGGGGGAGTTCCTGACATGCTACAGGGATCGGCTTTTCTGACACCCAACCTACGAAATCCTCGTGTAAGACAGGTAGACTTTTTTCAAATTGTAGAAAGCATAATGAGGATTAGTTTTGTAATGCAAACTTATAGATCCTAATCACTTTCTGATCCCTGACATTCACCGTGCAGTGTTTCTGAAGAGGGAGAATCTTCCTTGATGCACAGAAATTGCAGGAAGTAGGTGACTCTACTGGCAGACGTGATTAAGAAGAAGGCCCAAATCCCTCAGCAGTGTGACGTCAAACCTCCAAACAACCCCAAAGTCTGCTGCCTCCATCACAGGATGAGATTCATCAATGTCTGACTCACCAATCACATCCCAACGCAACACTGTGACACACAGCAATTTGACTTCCACCTAAACTTGATCTGCTTTTTGAATTGGGCTTATAGGCTGAAAGTGTGACACAAACATTAACATACACAAAATCTGAAAAATATATAAGATTAAACCTTTTTCTTGTCTTCGAGACAAGTTTACAATCACACAGCTGTAAGAATTGGTCAAATTCCATCTCCCGAGCAGCTAATGTTTATGAGAGCAGTAGGCCGAGCGACAATCACGTTTGACCCACATTTTGCCAGCTCTCGAATTTCACCCTAACTTCACTGTTCTTCTGTGCAGTCCTTTATTCACTGACTGGGGAGCTGTGTCCTGGAAAAATCTCATGATCAGCAAAAAACATTATTTGTTATTCATAACAATGACCTACATAACAATACTTTATGGGATAAGAGAGCATGATGAATAACACTTTAGTACTCAAGTGCTGTACTGACCTTCTGATCACCCATAAATCAGTCGACATGGCAGCGACATTATTGTCTGTATACATGTGACCAGTCAAAAGTGTATGTCCGTTCTGCACTTGTGTCTATACTATTAATCGACCTGTTAGCACTTTAAAGTCTGGATCCTTCAACAACAGCAGCCATGCTTAGCGTTCACTCCCAGGTAACATTCATTGTTGACACTGACACTTTATGATGTGACAGGAGGTTTCAATGGACATGGCCACTTAAAGCCTCAGTAGTAAACCAGTGCCTGCACTTAAAGTTGGAAAAAGGCCATTAAAACCAATAATTTGCCATGTTGTAATTGAAGGTATCCGATTCAAATAAACATGGAAATTTACAGAAGCAACAAGGCTGCAAAATGAGACGAGTACTGTGAAGACATTTTGTATTTGGAGGTCAAGGGATCTAAAAAAGTGGTATTTGGTGTATTTCAACATGTGACAGAAGGTAGAAAGACATAAATTAATAGTTGAATGAGAATCTTGAGTCAATACGAAAGATTTTTAGAATTAAAAGAACCAAAACACTTAAATATGATGTCTGAGAGCTCTCATGTCCCTCTATCACAAGTAAACAAACTTTTTTGGGGGGGTCGGAATACTCCTTTTTCTGAACAACAAAGAAAGGACCAGGCGTGCTGGACAAACAGAGGACCAACCTACACACAGCTGTCTCGTCCCAGGACACTGAAGCATGGAGGGAACAAAGAGAAGACAGATAAAAACCACTTTTTCCCCCCTCTCTCTCTTACCAGAACGACTGCAAATCTCTCCTCCAGTTCACCTGATTCCGGCATGGGCAGTTTCAGAGGCATGTTGTGTCCTCTGAGATCAGTGTGCTGGTCCATGCTCCCTGCGTTCCCCATGTTTCTTCTTTGACCAACAAGAACTTTTTTTTTTTTTTTTTTTTTTTTTTTTTTTACCCCCACCACCACCACCACCACCGCCACCAACAGCACCACGTCCACTCGAGAAAATCTCCGCACAGCCAGAAAAAAAACAGGAAAATATCCGCACGCCCTTTAGTTTTGCTCAGTCGACCTCAGGCAGGCTCCTCACAGGTTTGTTACTGGTCACTTCTTCTTCAACATAAAGCACATGTGAGGGAGGCAGCGTAATGCGACGGGTCCGAGCAGCGGCAACAGCAGCAGCAGCAGCAGCGGCAGCAGCGGAGCCCCTGGTGAGGCATTTTCACGGCAGAAACAGGAGACCTGGAAACTTGACTGGATCCACACACGGACCTCTCTTCGCTGTTATCCGTATCTTGCACAATTTCGGCTCCACTCCCAGTCGGTAGTAATGACGACGAGCATGATTCACGCTTATTGCAATCCCCCCCCCGCCTGATAACAGTGAGTGAGCGGAGCTGGCTTTCCTAATCCCTCCACTGCTGACCAGCTAGTTAAGGAGGAGGGTCTCCTCTCCTCTCCTCTCTCTCTCTCTCTGTCTCTCTTTCTATCACATACACACACACACTCACACACACATACACTCACTGTGACACCACACACACCGCGGCTGCACACACTCTCATCCCTCCCTACAATGAGCTCTTTCAGGGGCAAGCCTCCCACTTCTTCTTGGGGCGTAGCTCCCAAAGCCGTAACTAGGGAGATGATATTTTCTGTGTTGCATTGTGGTACTTTGAGTCCATTGTGACAGACAACAAACTTGAGTCAATGCCCCCCCCCACTCAACCCCCCAACCCCCCAACCCAACCCAGGGGCCCCTGAGCGGGAGACCCCTTAGCCGACTGAGGGCTGATTACAGGGGTTTTTCCTCTTTATGTAGTTGCATGTGGTGATTAGCTCAATGGGTTCATTTGTTGCATTTAATGTATTGATTTATTGATTATAGGACCATTCCAGTGCCACCAGATGTCTATACTGTTCAGAAAATGCACTAAAATGTTAAACCGTTAAACAGTATTTTCCAGAATAGTCTGTGAACGCAACACACAATTGGTTTAGTCACCATAAGATACTATTGTAATGAGTTACACCTGTGTTTGATTAGTCAAAGTGTCTGCTGTGAGAAAGTTGTGACTCAACTTAAACCTTGTCAACACCTTGGAGAACTGTATAAGCTTTTGGTCACTCAGTGGTAACACAACACTCACCCATGAGCATGTATCACGTTTGAGGTTAGCCAGGCTAATCCTCATATTAAACACCACTGTCCCCAAATAGCTTGTGGATGTCCAAACCAGCAGCTCCAGTCAAAGCATAACAACTGGACTTGTAGTCACGATTAAATAAGCTTGCTGTTTAATTGCTAAAATGATTCCATCCAGTTCTGCTTTACCTTTTTCTCAGATGACATTTTGACCTGCCATGGCAGGAAAAGCAAAGGTGTAACTCATAACATTACTTATCTGTCCTTTCCGCATAAGCGCCCATAAGCCACAACAGTAAGATAGCACAGGCAACACCACCACTCTGAAACTGGCACAGCTGAATGTAATGGAGCCATATAAAAGTTATTGGTTACACCTGTGTAAGTGCATTCACTGACTATGTGGTTTAAAACGGCACGACTGAATATTAGTTGTAAATGGTGTAGAGCCTTGGGCACAATAAGAAAGTACAGATATGGTGCTGTGTTTTCTTCCTCCCACTGTCCATTGTGTGTATCTGTTCTACTGGGTGACTAGCTGCAGCATGTATTTGCTCTCACAGTAATAAATTTAATTGCATTGAATTGAATTGCGTTTCATTGAATTTAATAACTGTAAAGCATTATTATTACTAATAATCTTAATTTACATAGTTAACTTTTCCACTGAAAACATGAGAAGTGCATTTCTTTTATTTAATTCAGTCTATACTTGGAGAGAAGGTGTTATTAGCTTCACTGTTTCTGTCTCCTCTAACATTTCTCCAGAGACAAATATCATTGGGTCAAAACTTTTAGCAAGTACAGTTCTTTGCCCGAGGCTATATCTGAAGGTGTTTGATTTAAAACATTCTGGAGACTTCCTAAATGAGAACACTCACTCAAAATGATCCAAAATCCATGAACACCCAACAGTAAAACTACAATTTTATGATAGAAACAGAACAGTCACAGGTCAGACGATGTTTATTCCCCCTCAAGATCTACAACATGCAATAGTATGAAATCTGATCTGCTGACAGGGTGGAGACCACATTTCGCACAAGAGGGTGACGTCAGCATGCAGAGCTCTGGAGACGATCCAGAGGTTCTCCAGATGCACAGTGGTTTCATTCATGATGTTCATGATGCTGGGCTGATTCAATAGGGGAGGGTGTCACATCTGAGGTTAGCTGGCAGGACACGTTGAGGATGCGATACACAGCTGACTGACCTCATACGATCATTACGTGTCCCAAGTTAACTTGATTTGCTCTGTCTGGAGACCCCTCCCCCATGTGTCGTGTACATTGCTTGTTTTGCCACTTATTGGATTCTATTTACTTAGAGGTTGCTCTGACACTCTATCAAAAGCTGGATGAGGATGTGAAAATCAGAAATTTAGCCCAACAAAAACAAATATAGTAGAAATGATGCAAGTGTTTTACGCATGGATCCAACATTTGAGCACTATATGGACAGATGAAGGGCATGCTCATCATGATGTGGGGACACATAATCTGGCATTGTCTGGGGAAGGTTTAAGATGTTAAAATATTATTCACTTTAATAAAGTGTACAAAGATCAAATAAGTGGACAATATAAACTCAATGAGTAATATTTATGTTTAGTGTGCACATATGTTTCAAGCACAATGTTGCTAAAAGTACTGGTCGACCATTCATATATAATTTAATTATTTTGAGCAGGGGGCGGGCAATTTTGTGTGACTTTGTTTCAGATTACAGCCTAAATTTAGTGTAATATTTTGTATTGTACACATACAGTACACTAAAGTTATTACAAAAGCATTGTAAAACATTTAATGAGAGATTATTAAGAAAATAGGGAGCAAACTGCATTGTTCCTATGCTGGAATATGACATGGTAGTTATGTGTGTTCATCTGATTTAACACAAATTAATTCAGAGATATGAACCATTTAAGACCAGTGTCACAGTCCCAAAACAAACATCAACACAGGGATCATCTTCAAGACAGGGTCTTAAGACCTGGTAATAAAGCAGGCTCCACCTAAAAGCCCTTACCTTATCAGTTTAAATTGTGTTGGCTTTGATGGGGAGCTATTGCCATGAAATCAACTGCCTCACAGTGAAACTGTGGCTTTCTAGGCCCCTGGGAGTCTGTGGGCTGTTGATAATTTTTCATTTCATTCACCAAGATATATTAAAATATTCGGCAATGATGTCTTATACTGTACAGAAGCCTATGTTAGTTACAGTAAACACATGCATGTGACTGTGTTTTTGGATTCAATCCATCTATTATCTTGTCACAATAATAAACAAACTCCTTACTGTCCAATGACAGCAGAGCAGCACATGACATCAGCTAGACAATGAATGAGCTTTCAAACAACAACAATACAAAGTGTCTTTCTATTAACTGCAGGGGGGGAAAAAAACAACTGAGGGTATTTGCTGCCTCACACTGACACAGCTGATGGTTACACAACAACAATAAAAATGGGAATGAGTTAACAGGAATCTTGCCTGTTAATGTGTGCATGCTCTGCTGCTCAGCTGAGTTTGTGTTGTATAGTAGCTATAAAAAGTGTTTTCATCAGTATCTTTGTACTTATCTTCAAGTAAGGCTTCATATTCAGCCAATCTTCACATAGTTTCATAAAAAAAAAACTCCCAGCGATATGAATTACAAAAAACTTTTCCTTAAAATATTGGTTTTTCAGTCTTATTAGCTTTGCTTTTAGAGTGCTGCATTTCACCAAACACGTATGTTCTTCCAATAGGCTGTGCACCACAAAGCAGAGACAGTTTAAATATATGGGTGGACGGCACCTTGCAGCTGTATCTTTGAGAGGTCTGGGGAAATACGAGTGGCCTCAGAGATCTCCATGAGGACATATAAAATGCAAAGGAGATGCCAAAAATAAAGGCAGCACAATCAGACCACTGTGTAAGGAACCTCACAGGAAGTTCATTTGGCCACTGAGTTTAGTAACATCTGTGAAATGAAGTTATTTTAAATGAGAGGAGGCTCATGAAGTTATGGCCTTCACAGGGCTGGAGTGCAGCAACAAATGTGGCTTTGTATTGTGCTTTAAGGGTCTGGAGAATTTAGTGATTCAACCACAGACATGCAGGTCAACACTGCCCTCTAATGTATATAAAGTGTATTGCCCAGTCTAAATGAGATTGCTTTGGTTTTGACACAAGACAAATTTTCTCTCATCTTTACAGTTTAATTCCACCAAATTTTGTTTTTATGGGGAGACTGCAAAAATTCATTTAATTATGGGCTGGGACAAATTCACCTCTGTACCAGGGTTTCACATCTGGAAACAATGAAAATGTTTCCACAATAATATAAATTAGTGGTCAGAATATTTATTTGCACTTCTGGTTACACAATCAGCTGCCAAAGATCAAACCTCAACTCAGGATAGGAAAGACTCTCAACATTCAGCCTACAGTGCTCCCTCTAACTGGAGCCTTTGAATGGCTGCATGTTTGTTTGCACCCAAGATGTGAATATTTTAAAACATTTCGCTCTGCATTGTGTAGTGTGGCGTAGCTAAAATATTAATTTTACAGCATGTCCACAGATATGGAAGCAAATATACTTCAAGAGGCTGAGTATCAAACTATATTTATTGTATACAGTATAGGGACAACAAATGTACAAATCAAAAAAAAAAAAGTGAAATATCTGCCAATATCACCCTGCAAATCTAGCAAATGTTAACTTTTAAAATGACGGTGGATATTCTTACAAGATTTCTACAACACGCAAGTCCAACAAACTAATCTGTTGATAATATGGATAGATTTTAGACAAATGTATTCAAATTGGAAACACAGCATTGACTCAATATTTATAGTGAAATATATAACTTTAGATGAAACATTTCTGGACTGCTAAAAGGTCCTGAAAAAGTGGGAAAAGACCACCGTTACAGAGTAACAGTAATCTCTTACATCTACATCTTATGGTAACCAAACCCTTTTATAAAAGAACACTATTCATTTAGCATTTTTGGTCCATAAACATTACTGTACTTTATTTACCATTCAGTTAAATCTGCGTCGAGTGTGACAGTATTGAGGTAAACCATCCATATGGATCTTTCTCAGCACAAGCATTTTTTCTAGCAACTGTAGAAGGTAAAATGGGCATGGAAACATGAAATTATCTGTATCTAAGGGTTTAAAAAAAAAAAAAAAAAAAAAAAAAATATGAGATGAGAAAAATGTTATGCCTTTCCAATCTATGGAGCAATTAACCAAATGCTCCCATGCAGCAGTTTTCATCAAGTACATGAATTAAAATGAGCTCATCCTGAATTTGAATGCTTACAACAATCTGGAAAACTTAAAACAGAAGAAAAAAAAAAGAAGAAGAAGAAAAAAAAGATTTTGGCATGTACTTTAGCTTACAATTTATGAGACATGCAGGATGTCATCTCAACATCAAGAGAACACAACAGGTTTTTTTTTGTTTGTTTTTTTTACAAGTCATATCTGATTTGAGATGTGTCACTTCCTTGGACAATTTCAAATCATCCATTTATGTGAATAAAACAAGTTAAAAAAAAAAAAAAAAACATTACCCTGCATCTCAAAGTCATGATTTGACTTCCAAATTAAAAACCCCTTTTATGTTGTGGACAGCCTGACATTCAGCAAAGCACAGTGAAAAAAAAGTAAAAACAGAAATAAACAAATACAACATGAAAAGATAGTGTGGATGTTCTTCCAAGAGTACAGTCCACTTAAGAACAGATGCCTCCTGTCTGTTGTTGAAATACATCAATAGTGTCTTCATCCTCCATCTCCAGCTGTGAGAACAAAGCCATTCACATATTAGTCATCCAACAACAGAAATTTATTCAATTTTATAGCAATTTTTTTTTATAATGTATAATATTCATCTAATCGAATAAGGGCTTTGATAAAATTAGTCCATAGCACAAGCTATAATTTTTTTTTAAACCTCCTCTGACAATGATCAACAGGAAAAAAAATGGAAGCAGTGGAAACATTTAAGTTGATCAAATATGTACGAACAGTGGCTTCACAAAGTATACAGACCCCTCTGGGTCACTCTACCAAAGGACTGACTGATGCAGTGCTACTGAGATGTTTGACTTTCAGGCAGGTTCTACAATCTCTGGAGAGGACTTCTGAAGCTCTGTGAACGTGACTGTTGGGATATTGACCTGACCCAGGCCCTTCTTGCCCAGTTACAGTTTAATTAAACACCTAACTTCAGGTAAATTCCTGGTGGTTTCAAACTTCTTCCATTTCCATTATTGAGGTCATTGTGCTCCTGGGAATACTTAACACTTTAAATGGTTTTATACCCTGATATAGGTGTGTGCCTTCCTAAACTATGTTCAATAAATTCAGTGTGCCACAGGTGGATTACTCTCAACTTCATGTAAAAGAATTAAAGCAAACAAGATGCACCTGGTCACAATTTGGAGTACAACAGCCAAGGGTCTTAATACTTTTATAAATTATATTTCAGAAACTTGCAAAAACATCTCAAAACATGTTTTCACGGTCATTATGGATGCATTTAACCTACAAAACAATAAAGTGTGGAAAAAGGGAGAGGATCTGAATGCTTTCTGGGGCCACTGTATATATAAACACAAAAAAACCAACTTGACTGCACAAGTATTCATTTCCTAGATGCACTGAATCATCACTGGTGCTGCCAGCTCTTTCATTAAGGTTTGACAAATATCTTTTTTTTCAGTTGATTAGTTGTATCTGAAAGGCCCAAAGATCTAGTTGGTCAGTTTCCTGCCAAAACTCCATCAAGTAGACAAAGCAATATTCTTAACTGATATGCGACAGTTAGTGATAAGTCTCAATCAGGGAAGCATACCAGAAACACGCTGGTGATGTCTTTGTAAATCACCACTGTGCTGACAGTAACATTGACATGGTCACATAGCCCTACAAAACACTTAGTTAACATTAAAATTGAAATTGTGCAAGAGCAAACTTGGGAAGTGGGTTGTGAGGAGAACCAGTTTAAATCTTGTAAATATCTGTAGCAGATGTGAAGTAGCACTGGGAAGCAGAAGAGGCATATTGCTTCTTTGATTTAACAGGTGTGCTTAACTCATTTCAACATGTGATCAGGTTAAACAATGAAAAGATCCAAACATGAGATGTGGTCTCATTTATATTAAATTAGGAATTATATAACAACTATTTAACTCTTCATTTGAACAAGAAGGTAGCCCAGTATATCCCGGGATAGTCTGAGTAATGTGGGGAGGCCATTATAATACTGATCACTGAATAAATGAGTTTTCAACTAACAGCCAAACTGAATTTAAACAAACAGGTTAACATTAATAAAAATATGGCTTTTAAGATGAATGCCCATGCTTAAGTAAGACAGAGTACTTTAATGTGTGTATGCACATATTAATCTATTTTGGTATAAAAATAAAATCTAAATATGACTGACTATTGACTTAAAAAAAAATACAAATACACTCACTAATGTGTATTTTCAGAACTCTACAATACAATTATCTACAAGAGGAGACTCCATATGTTTTTGTTTCACCAACCTGTGCAGGTGTGTCTGTTTCATTAATTGGCTGTCCATCAAACCTAAACCTTATCTGACGAATTGACAATCCCTATAAAAGACAAAGCATACAGAAGGAGCGTGTTAATGACATTTTCAGTCCAGAGAGCTGTTAACAAGACAATATAAACAAAGGCAACATCTGACACAACAAGGAAATAGTTTGTTTATGACACACTTATGTCAAAGTGCATCGTTACCACAGGAAATGATACGTTTCTGTTTACCTGGATGAACATACCTGTCTTTCGCAGTATGCCTTCATTAGTTTACTGAGCGGAGTATGCCTCTTGATTTTGAACTGTACGACTGACCCGTCCTGACCAGCTACCTTCAGGTTAATGTGGTCATTCTCCGTCTTCACTCCTTCCTGCAACAGAAACCGCAATCAGCAGCGGCAACATACCGGTGTCCGGTAATGCAAGGTTATTTTGAATATAAAAACAACTAACTTAAGTGGCCATCTAACTTGAAACAGCTACATTTACAAGGCAAGCTTGGTCCTGGCGACAGGTTTCACCACCCAAAACACCGCATGTGTAACGTTACACACTCCTTATTCGGTGGTTAGCATAGCAAGCTAGTCCGTGTTCTAACTGGCGCAGAGAGCCACAATGGCGCAAATGAAAGGGATAAGACAAATCATTCATTTCAGAGGCAATCTCTGACACCGACATCAGCGAGAATTGGTTAATGAAATGGTAAAACTACTGAGTAATAGCAGCGGATGATGTTATTGAGGGAACACTACAAACAACAGACCGTGCGTCTAAATCCAAAATATCCGCAAATTGGTGAACCTTTGTTTTCTCCAGCTACCCGCTCAAATGCGGTATCTGTAGCCTGGAAGCAGACTAGCTTAGCAGTGTGTATGCTAACGTTAACTTGCGACTGCCATCATAAGCAGCTAACGGCAAACATAAACACAGTGCTCCTTCGAAGAAACACAGTACTGACCTTTGGCTTTTCTTCGGACATTCTGCTATTTCTCAGGAATTAGTTAATAACGTGGAGACTGACGTTAAACGGTGAAGCGGGTTATCTGCTCCTCCGGCTCTTTCGTTTGGCCCTGGGAGCGCGCGCTGAAATTTAAAATGTGATTCGACCAAAAGGATCACGTGCTTCACTTTCCATCGGGACCGCGGATACGTGAGCGCGCAAGATAATTTTGCGCATTCTCGCGAGTAGGCCCCTCTGTTAAGCAAGCCTTTAGTCCAGGCCATGGGCATTCAAGAGCATTTAACCTGTAACGAAACACCCAAGTCCAGTGCAACAGGAGACAGAAACACAACAAACCAACCAACTAGAGATATGATGGTAATATTTTTTTCTTATCTGTAGTCAACAAAAGCAGACTTTGTCTAACACAGGGTCAATATTCCACTGATTAAAAAAAGATGGTCTCAGACTAAACACTTATTCATTGGAATCCAACATGTCTGTAGGCCTTGGCCAAGAGGCAGTAATGATTTTACAGCAAATTCTTCTCAGGAACTGAAACATGCATGGGGTTCCTCCTCTCCAGGATTAGGTGATAGATTTAGAGAAGGTTGATGCATATGCAAAAATGTCTTATTTGTCAACAGGCCTGAAAAATATTTCCACAAGATAAGCATATGCATTTTTTTTTTAAATAAATGCCAAATTGAAAGGCTGTGGTGGAAGAATAGTGATGACCTTGATTTCCATATAGGATTCATGGTCCCATACTTTCTTTTGGCTTTGAATAATTTCCTTTTTTTTCAATAAAGCCACTTTGTGCTTTGGTTGACCCCTCTAGTTCTTGTATTTGTGTTTGGGTGAGGTGGGATTGGGATTGTGGGATGTTAAAAATTCAGTCACAAAAACATATTTTCAGTTTTATTCATTTAATTTTGAAATTTATAGTCACAAGTTTTTAACAACAGCTACACAAGAATCAAATGTTTCAAATGTGATTGAAGCACACACATTTCTTTTATTGAGTAAATTTCAGAATTTTATTCTGATATTTATCAACAGATAAAATAGCAAAAAACGTGTAAAAATGTGTTACATGTTACAAATGAACTTTTATACAAAAATAAATGGTAAACTTTAGACATGGCGATCAGTAAAAGTGTACAAATGCAGAATGAAAGTGAAACTGCAAATTATAAAAAAAAGCACCAATCAGCTCTAGAGTTGTGGACAACACTGCATTTTATGGAAATTAACACAATAATGTTTTCTGATCATGATGGACAATATGTTTTGACAGGTTAGCCCTTACATATGTTTTCCTGTGTGGACAGAAAAACAAGTCAACTAAACAGAATTTCGCATAAACATTCACATCAAAATGAAGGCAGAAGAAATATTAATACAACGTGTATAAAAAAATGAAACATTAGGTGAACGGACCATGTTTGGAATAGTGCACACTCAGTCAAAATGATTTCAGAACATTTTGGTGACTTTTTAAAAAAAATTTTATACCATCACTGAAACACTGAAATCAATCTGTATAATCACAGTTTATCATATGCTACTTATACGCTATCTCAATGTTACTGGCATATATAAGATCATCTCCAGGGATTTTTTTTAAGAAATCATATTTGAGATCCGTCTTAATGGTCGTCCATACGAGAGTAAGGGTTATCCTTTGCCAGACCTTAAAAGAAGAATGGAAAACAGATCAGGTAATCAATAGTTAAAACACATCACTCTGAAGAATTAGGAATGTGAAATATTCAGATGAGTTGTATTATGATGGTTGCATACATTTGATTTTATGGATTTAATGCAATTATTTGTATTTTCAATTTTACAAAAATCAATATAGTCATAACTTTTTGAATTGAATTCATGTGTACCGTGTATGTACAGTGTAGTTTTTCTCCAGTAGATGGCACTACTGGATTAGTATTATTATTATTATCAACATCATTATTTGTAGTCTCTTTTGATTGATGAAGACTTTTATAACAGTCCCTTGATTCATCTACTCATATTTCACTATATTAATTTTATTTCATCAAGCTTATCTTTCCCCTAGCCTGTTTTTATTCATTTTGCAACTCTGCATGTAAACTAAGCATTAGGCAAAACAAGTCTCTTTGATGTTCCAAATTTACATTCATCAACCCACTGAAACCATACAAACAACAGATGTGTCTCACCATATTTCTGTCTGATTTCATCATGCCTCAACTGCATTTCAGTTCTCCTGTAATAGGGAGAAACAAAGACAAATTGTTAGACAACAGAGAACACCAGATGCTCTCACGCCTACACTGTCTGAATCCTGGATTAAGGGTCAACACAAGGTACTGTACTGCTATAACATACTGACAGTATCTACCAACACATTCGTTCACAAATATCAGTAGCTGTGTGCCGATTCTTACAACCTTAAATTCATAATCTAGGATGCATACTTGATAATTAATGAAAAAAATTAAAATATTTGAACACTAATTAGATCTCATTTTAATTCATGGTGGTGGTGCCAGCCTCTTAAAAACACAACAGAAAAACGTTTCATTTCCTCTTTTTGCAACTTTTCTCAATATCGAAAAGAGTCCTCCATTTATTCGCTGAAGGTTATTGTTACAAAGACAGTGACAAACTAATAAGGGTTTGTATTCTTTATAACACTTAAATTGGTTATTGTCAGACTGCTATATATTTACTTTGCTTTCTGACGGGCCTTCCTCGCACGGGTTTGTCGCTCCACCTTCGCATCCTCTCTCTTGTTTCTGGAATATAAGATTTTGTAATTACATCAATATTCATTATAGTTATGTTTGTGTAAATGTGTTCGTGTAGGAGCAGTGGTGGCCTAAAGGCTAAAAGAGCAAGCTTGTGACTGGGAGGTCGCCAGTTTGATCTCCGGACTGGCAGGATTAAATCTGACTGGAAAAAGTGAAAGAGCAGCACTCCAACAGATGGTGGTTGCACTGGGCAGCTTCCAGGTGTGAATATGTGTAACTGTCAATATGATCAGGGTGTGCCTGTAAAATAGAGGTTGCCTCTCAGTGAAGCTACCCTGAATAAACAAAAGAGGGAAAATGAAAGGTTATATTGCAATAGAAAAGAAAATGGTGAGAATTTTACTCTGTGCTTGAGAGATTTAAGTCTGATGTTCTTACAGTTAATCAGTTCAACAATCTCACCAAATATACCACAAAAAAACCCATTGTTTTTTAGTTGTTAAATCAACTAGTTTTTGGAAGCGATTAGAGCACATCTTCATAGAAAGAGAAAGTTTTTTTCAGAGCTAAACTGCAGTCACAAATTCTGGCAGGCTTTTGGAGACGGCGGTATCAGCCTTGCCTTGCAGAAAAACAAGCCATTGTATTCCCTGTCCTCCTCCTCCGCCTTCCATGTTGAACCAGATTTCACAGCCAAAGCTTCATGTGACTTAATGCTTACCCAGTTCTTTCACACTTGCAGCAGCAGAGGCAGCAAACAAGAAGGGCAATGATGATGATGCCAGCCAGTACCGACATGGTGATGATCAGAATCTGAAAGTTGACTGTATTACAGGCAGACACAGGAGAAAGGTGAAACTCTAACCTCATCATGAGCCTGGAAAGCTCAAACCCTATAAATCCACATAACCTGGGTTTCCTCCGTTAGACTTCAATTAACAACTTGGAGTTTCGGGTCTTGGTAGAATATGAAAGTTTAATTAGTTAGAAGCTGGTTATGGTTCTTCTGTGAAGAATAATCCAATAAATCTAATACTAGGATGTAATTAACAATTATTTTCATTACTGATTAATCTGTCTTTTTGTTTTTAACAGAAAGTCCCATCATAAATTCCTACAGCTCTAGGTGACATATTCAAAGTACTCCTTACGATACTTTAGATATTCACTTTATTATCAAGTAACAAAAGGGAAAGCAAATCAAGTAAGAAGCTGTAACTACAGCATGTTTGGCATTTTTGCTTGAAAATCAACTTAAACAATTAATTATTCATCATAATAGTTGCAGGGTATACCAACATTTATCTGAGGCCTAAGGTTTGGAAAGTCTTACCCCAACAGACCCCCCATCGTGCATCAGTCAAAGGACACACACTGTTGGGGGGCAGGATGTTCCTCATTGGGTAGTCAATGCATTGTTGAGTTGGCATGCACCACAAACACTGCAAAGAAACACAGCAACAAACACTGTGCTGGAGACTTATCTTTGGTATTTATGGCATCAAAACACTAATAAAACTGAAGACAGCTACAGTATTTGTGTTTTAGGAGACTTACAGTGACATTCTGCAGGCACTCTGCACAACTGGTGTTGGATCTAAAGGCGCAAGGGGCTGAAACAGAGATAAGTCACAGTGTTTTTAGGGCTGGTCACTGGCCCCTCCTTCACATCGTTGGTTCAAGTAGGTTTATAAATGTACTCACAAGAAAGAAAGAAAGACACAAGAACATCTGAAAAAATCTTATTAGAGGTTCAATATTCGGCCCAAAGTGACAAATCATTTGCAGTATATGCGACAACACAGCTTACAGCGGGTCAGACTGACTCACTTTTCCCCAAGAAAAACGAGAGTGAAGTTTGTTCTGCAGAATTCATCAAACGTCTATCAACAGAAGAGCCATTACAACGAATTCAGATGATTATCTTTACTTTTATGATTAGTGGAAATCCATTTTTGCCACAGTCATGTGACAACCTCCTGACCTGACTCACTCTGGCTGAACAAAACAAAAGCACATCAGCGACAGCTAGAGAAAACTTACTCGGGGCTGGAGCTGGAGTCGATGTCTGCGCCTCTGTGGTCACACTAACACCGAGGAGAATGAAGGCGACAGCGACGACCGAAGCTCTGCGAACTCCGGACATCATGAGCCGACTGAAAACCATCGACCGCATGGACATAACTCACCAACTGAGAGCTTTCTCAAGTCAAAGTGAAGGGTGGGCCGACAGTTAACGAGAGGAGGAGGGGGAGGGGGTGACGTAACGAGCTCCTGACGTTGGTGTCATCAAACAGCTGCGGAGTCAAATATCTGAAAATATCTTATTTTATTTTATTTATTTATTTATTTCAATTAATGTTTTATTAATGCCAGAAAATGTAATTAAAATGTACAAACAAACAATAAATTCAGTGAGATTTGCAAGATTTTTTCTTCAAGATTTTATGCTGTTAACTAATGACTTTATAAATGGTTCTTTAATCATTCATTAAGGGTTGAACCATTAATAATAACAATAATAATAACAACTTTTGAATTGCCAAGTCAACTCTCAAGTACTGCTGTTCATCCTCCTTCAGCGCGACACATTGCTTTGTCTTTTTTAACTTATTCCTCAGGAGGACTCGCAACTACTTCCCATCTGTGAGAGAGCACCAGAGCATCCAGACCAACATTAATTTATTAATAACTTATTAACATTTACCACTGCAGACTTTTACAGACAGACAGTAACAAAAGGAAAAAATACTATTAATTTAATATACATAATTGCAGATGACTTACTGACTTGTGCTGATGGACTTTATTGACATCTGTAACAGCAGAATCGATGGCTAACTGGAAAGTTAGAGCCATTACATTTTATTTATGACTTGCTATAATTTATGTATGTATGTAGTGAATAATTACTAACTGATAATTGTGTCATAATTTATAAACTGTGTATAGAGGGTGTCTATTCCTGGAACAAAGAAAAATGCCTTTGCCTTGTAGTTTTTCACTCTCTTTAACCAAAACAAAAATAGTGGTGCACAATAAGATGACAAATATTGTAATCCACAAGAGAAACAAATATATTGAAACACAGATCTTTTGGTCATGTTTTTAGATATGTGAAATCCCATTTTAACATAATAGGCCTATTTGTCACCATTTATACCATGAATCTTTACAAGTTTCAAGGGTGGTGTACAGTGGGAACTGCCCATTACTATACGGTTTAAAGTGCATTCTTATACTTTCACAGAAACCCCTCCAACTTACAGAACGATGCACAAGCATAGCTATATTAAAAGTCCACTTTTGGCGTTTCAATCGTTTGCATAAGCTGGTTCATTATACTGTATGTTTGTAGTAATGTGTTCATGTTTGGCAGCTGATGCACAGGAGACTGAAATTCACAGAGTTGCTAAACACATCTAAATTTTATATCTTCCAACATAAGACAAAACAGAATATGAGACACTTGGGACAAGCACAAGGCAGATTTTGAAATACAATAATTTATTAAAGCATCTTTAAATTCTGATATAAAACATTTTCTGATTTTTCTTCTTCAAAACAATCAGAAATCTCAGAAATACAGTCATCGTCAATGGCAAGATCAGTCTCTGGTGTGGCCGCCGGCAGCTGACCAGAACGCCTAAGTGAGTACGATCAGAGAGCAATGGAAGACAGTGATGCAATGTGAGGTAAATACTAAGATCATTAAGTTTGGATCATATCATTATTATCATGAAATATACTGTAGGTTGATTGGCATAAGCTTGAATCCTTGTTCATTTACAGTGGCCTTCAGAGGAAATCTCCTCTGGTTAGCGAGACAGGAAAGGGAATTGAACATGTTGGGTGCTGAGGGCAACACACTTAGGTTATGTCATGTTGACAAAAGGTCAGAAACAGGGCTTAAAAATTGGGATAATCAATAGTAAATTATGAACAACTTGTCTGTTTCTGAATCTTTGTGTCCCTGAACACACACATAACAGAAAAACAAAGTACTAGCAAAACTGCATCATTACATTTCCAGCACACAGTTCACTTCTCTGAGCTTATTCTCCCAATTTGTTGACACTTCAATAAATAAATACCCCACCCCTCACATGGCCTTTGACATCACTGACAAGAAAAGACACATTCTTTAGACACAGACACAATGAACAGGCGATACCATGCTTGCTTCCTAAAACACATCCTTGAACATCAGTTTCAACTACAAAAAGTTTCAAAGACACATCCTCAACTCAGTACACGTTAAATCAGCTCAATGCAAAGTACTTGTTCTAGGAGCTCAAACAGTTCAACTGATTTTAGTACTGATGCCTTTTGAGAAAATACTGTACTGCAGTGGTTACAGACGTTGCATCTCCACTGATGCAGTGGTTATTCACACAAAATGTTTTTATTTGCTCCATTTATTTGACTTATAGTAAGCAAAATTTCTTCTGTTTTTTTGTTTAGTATAGGGATGTGCTTTTGTGGCACATGCACCCATGGAAGCATGACTCATCAATATACTCAGCACCCCAAAATTTACACTCCATTCCCGAAAAGGCCACATTTGCACTGTTAATCCAGATTAAATAGCTACAGTAAAAACTTAAATAAGGCAAAATGAGGGAGATAATCTCCCTGGGATGATGACAGTTATATTACACATTAACCTGAGGGAATCTCCATTCAGGAGAACATTCATTACAATGGGCCGCAATATTCTGTAGAAAAAAAACACTTAAAAATGTGACAACTTGGTCAGTGTATGTTTGCCACTGCAACACATTCTTTTACACAGTTTGGGGCCTGAAAGAAAGGCTTGAAAGAAATTCACTATTTTTGGAAATTGTGAATGTGTGACTTGAATTATTTGAAATATGTGGTGGAAAAAAAGCCGGAGAGCTCTGTCCATCCTTCTCTGGATATTGAAATGAAATCCACCAAATGACACCTGAATTACATTTCAAGTAGCATGATAAAAATGACCAGTGTAACTAATGAGAGTAACAGGTTTGGAGACTGCATGGAGGGAGGCAACACTCAGGACGACTGTAAAGCTTAAAATGGTGCAGATGTGTCACTGTTCCCACACTTGCCACAATCAGTAAAGACATCACCAATTTTTTGTGTCTCCTAAGAAAGGAATCTTTCTGGATGGAGTTTGTTTGCGTTGCTACGAAGCCAGTCAAAAGCTCTGAGAAACGATTTCTGTCAAAGTGATTTGTTGCTCTTCTCATTTCTACATCTTGCTCTTACTAGTTCAGGTGAACAGTGGCTGAGTCCATATTGTGTCCTGTACAGTCAATCACCTGATCCAGTTGGTTCCATAACTGGAGACAGACTTCACACTGCAGCGCTTCTTCACGATCATGTTTATGTAGGCTTTCATGATTTTTGTGATTTCACCAACCTGAAAAAGGCACAGATGAAACAAACAGTCAGAAAAACAAAAAAACCTGCAACAAACCAGACAATACGTACACAGTACAAGACAAATATGTACCTGTGGTGTTTCAAAGAACATCTCTCGCTCATCCACGGTGATCTTGTAGGTGCAGGGCTGCGGAGCGCCAAAGAAGATGATGTGCTCATATGGGAATGTCTCCAGAGGCTTGGGTTCTCCTCTCTTGTAGACAGACACATTCTCAGCACTCACACTCAACCAGAGATCGTGAGGGAAGCCTCCTTCTTTGCACTGTGAAGACATAAATACAGGATCTCTTAATCTTTATTCAACACGCGATTGCTGTCAAGGCCAATATCGACCTTGAATCTGTAAAAAAAAAAAAAAAAGTCATATCGGTGCATCCTTGGCGGTGTCTAAGTCATGATTAAGGTCCCAGTAAACGTACCTCGACATCAAACAGTGTGGATCCATATCCAGGCCACTCTTTGATGATGGTCATGTATTTGAGCATGGCTTGGTGCTGATCCAGACCCTTGAGGCGAGACCACTTTTCCACGATGCTGGCTCTGGTGGCGGACATCTCCTCCTTTATCCACATCTCCAACATCTGCTCCTCCTCCAGGCGCTGCTTCTTCATTGAGCCCGTCTTCAACCCCCGACGCAGCGTCCCATCCAGGAAGCTAGTCCTCCGACGCTCCAGAGTTTGGCCCGACCCCGAAGCTCCACCCACCTTGGTGAACTGCAAGATGCGAGTGCGCAGGCGGCCCACGGGGTAGACGTTTTCCAGGCTCCAGGTGACACGTGCTTTGTCTCCGAACAAGAACTGCAGGCGCAGAGCGGCCAGGTGCTGCAGGGTCTCTTCACGAGCAGGGAAGTGGCCTCTGGTCAGACTCTCATGGGCCTGGAGGAACAGAGCTCATCATTAGCACTGCCCGCAACACGTGCTTAAAAGAACCATCAATAAAGTGTTACGTGATGCGTAAAACACACCTGCTCAAACATGAAGGCAAACTCCACCCCTTCCTTGGGCATGCTCTCCACATCCAGGAAGCAGTAGAGCTTGAAATAAAGTTTCCACTGGCCTTCATCCTCAGCTTCCTCGCTGCCAGCCAGTCTAGTGGGAAAGTCACAATTGTGTCACTTACACATTCTACTTATTATGTCATTTACATTTCAATGTGCTTCTACAGGTGTTGAGACAAGACACCAAAATCACATATATACATATATAATCAAACACAGTATCAAACAGAAAATAACCCTTGTAATCTCTGGACGTGTAACATACCTTTCAAATTTAGCCAAAACATCAGCCACAAGGACCCTGCTTTCCACAGCTCTGTCAATAGTGTTGTTGTGCTCAAAGAGAGCAAACATGTTCCTGCTGTCCTCCATAGCCAGACCTCTGATTAGCTTCTCAACCACCTGAACAAAGTAAGACAAGATATCATCAGTCACATCATCACCATTTTTGTGAATAAGAAATAATATCCACTTGAAAATGATATTCCAGTTTACACTGCATCTTGCACAGCAATATTTAAAATAGCCCATCAAATGGCCATGTACTCGGAGTCACTGCAGCTCACTAACCTCTCCAGCGGTGGTGTGTGAGTTAATGGAGATCTTGCAGGAGCCTCCTCCGTGGCAGTAGACTGTGGTTGTCATTTCCTGTCTGGTGAGCAGTGCCATGATTTCCTCCTGGGAGGGAACAAACTCTCTGGTCTTGGTTTTCTTCAGAGACTCACCAATGAAATGGGCAAACATTTCAATCTCTGTACCAGGGAACAGCTCCTTAATCCTGAAAACACAAAAAGGACAAAAAGAAAGTGAAGTGGAAGTTTCAGATGCAGCTGGATTGTTTTGAACGAAGGCACATGTCCAAAAGCGGCCCACACCTTTTGAGGTGAAACTTGAGGTAGCGTAAGATGCCTCGGCTGGGCAGAAAGGTGCAGCTCATACAGGTCAGGAGATGCCAGTGGGCGCGATTGGAAGGACTGTTGGGGTGCGGGACGTGATTGGTTTGTTTGATCAACTGACAGTAAACCTCATCTCTTAATGGCCTCAAGTCTTGACAGGTCTGCAGGATTCCCTGGATGATTGGAACAGGGTCAGAAACTGCCTCCATCTCCTGCAGTGAGTTGAAGATCTTCACGGCCTCATCCTGCAGGCTGGTGTAACCCTTTTCCTTTTGCACTGGGAGGGAGAGACAGAGAGGGGTAAAATTAATTTTCAAACTATTTACTTTACTTCAAAAATTTCCCTACCTAACTAAATTACATTTGATCACTATTTTTATTATTTTTATTATTTTTTGGGGAGAGATTTTCCAGCTATTGAGTTTTTATGCCCTAAAATAGATATTTTGGCAGACTCCACTACTTGATGGAGAAAAATAAGAATTACATGAACTGAAAAATGTTTGTGTAAAAAGGTACATGTTCTAACAAAGAGAACTTAATCTGGTATCCTCCAACAAGAAAAAACGCATCAGAAGAACCGACAGAAGACAACAGCAACAGCTTGCAAACTGTAGCTGCAGGCCGGAGCACTTACAGTGGACGCTGACATCTCCATAGGGCAGAGGTAGAAGAGGGGAGTGCAAGGGATGCTGGGTATATCTCAGGATGGGGTTCCTCCAGTATGTCTGCTCAACAGCCTCCACATTTAAACTGCTCTCCTTTAAAAAGACAAACAAACTGGATCGGTAATCTCACAGTACACTCTTCAGGAATTATCTTTACGGCGAAGTAGAGCACTCTGAAAGAGGTGAGGATCTGTGTTTCAGTCAGATTAGAAAAACAACCGCAGCAGTAAAGATGGGAAACAGCTAAATAGAAATGAAAGAAAAATGTTTTGAAGCAGCTAAGATTTAAAGAGGATCACAGCACACATGTAGTGAGTATGAGTACCTCACTTTACTACAGTGTGTGTCCCTGCCAAAGGTTTGCATGACTGAAAAGAATTTGAGTTACAATAACATTAATGCTCATGAAATGTTACATAGAATTATTTGTGAAAATATTATTAGCACACTTAAGTGAGACACATGCAGCATAAAATCTCACTATCAGTAAGCATGTCCATTATCAACCGGATCACAAAAAAAGGAAGGAACAGTCAAGTGAATGCTTTATTACCTTGATGTCCCTGATGAGCTGCTGTGTCGGCGTTTCAATGGGAACTTTGCTGTCTATTGCCCCCTGTATGGCATTCGCCCACCTCATGGCTTCATTCAGCATTTTGGTGTAAAGACGGTAAGAGTGCTTTCGCCCATGGACGATTATATTCCAATAACCTGGGTGAAAAAGACAGAGTGTAATTAGAGCTAAAGTAGCTCACTGGAATAACCCGAAATGTTGTAAAATGCAAATAAATGATACAGGACATAAATAAGCCGCACAGAGTTTTTCCGATTTTCAAGAGGCTCAAGCTTAACTATAGTTTTCCAAGCTCAAGTAGATTGAAAATAATGTTGACCATGAACTGACCAGTGTCCTTGAAGATCTTCTCATCGGGCTGCACCACAGAGCAGAGGCTGTTGAGGACCAGAGTTCCCAGTTTGGAGGCACTGCGCTCTGATGACTTGTAGTAGTCCAGAGAGTTACTGGTGAGAACAAACCAGCGCTTCTTCAGCTTCAGAGACGTGCTCTTGGCTCCTGACTTCATCTCTTTATGCAACCAGCCTGTGAGGATAAATACATGATTTACTCATCAAGTCCTAATAATGAGTTTTCTGAGATAAAACTACATTTCACTTTATGTCATGTGTTGTTTCTCCTTCTTAATATTTCCATCTCTTAAACAAATTCAACACATCTGCTATTTATGAACCTGACCAGATGTATCCTACTGCATATATAAGTACATCGTAAACATCCCAGTGTATGTGTGTGCTGACTGACCTCTGACTAAGAACTCCTGTCCGTCAACCCTGGAGTCTCCCTTCGATTTCTGCAGCAGGCCGATCCAGTGGTGCATCTCCTCAGGTGTGTCCGTGTTGCAGTGGATCACCCGGTTAGCCGTGATGATCACGAACGAGTTTGGTCTAGAAACAGAACACATCAGACACACACATAGATGTTGTTACACCACATGTATTGCTTACCGTCATATACCACTCAGTAGTTTGAATACATTTAAATCAGACACAGGTCAAGTTTCCTCACCTGTCGGGGTTGTCCGATGCACAAACAGAATCAATCAAACCCACGTCTAGTGTGCCCTGCACAGAGAAGACAGAGGTGAATAGAAATATTGTTATTAGCTTTTTTACACATTTGCAAATAGTTTTCTTCATTGGTTTATGAGTATTTTACAGTCACAGCAAATATTACTAATTTGCATTATATTGTACATAATTGAAAAACTCACTATCTAAACATCACTGAATGTGATTTACTTAATAATACTGTTGTTGTGTCAAAGTGGGATAGAGATAGGTTTACTTGGTGCACGGGATTCTTGAGGGTGAGGGGAGTAGGAGGGTGAGTTGAGGGGAAATAAAAGAAAAAAAGAGTTTCTACTAGTGTATTGGTAATATGACATATGGTTGTTTTTATGTAAAGTGGCTTGACTTTTTGTCATCCCTTCATTTGGTTTTCCAGCTCATTTAATTTGCACATCTGCAAATGCTATTAACCACACAGTAATTGTTTAATGTCCATAAAAATGAACAATGACACACCAGTGTGTGTGTTCTGCTTCTTCAGCTTAAATTACTGTATGGTCCAGATCTGGACCATCATACTTCCGCTGATTCGGTTTCATGCTTCATCATTATTGGTGAAAAATGGAGCTGAGGCTGGGGCCCAGGCAGTAGAGAGGTAAAACAGCACTAACCACTGCATTCTTTGGGTTGGCCTGTTCATGGTGCATCTCCATGAGCTGGTCGGGGCTGGCGCTGTGGACCCGACTCAGCACACTGAACCAACCACTGGATGGGGGTCAAAGGGAGTTTGGGAAGTAAAAGTTAGCAAACATGTAATTGTAAAATTACACTGTGAACTTCCTCTGGCAACCACAAGGGGGAACTTCATTTCCACACATTACTTGTACACAGAGATGACGGCAAGGTAAAACACAACTCATTAAAAGAGCCACAGCTAGATGAAATACAACATATGGATATGCTATACCTGGCATCTTCTGGGGACTCTGCATAGATGTGGTAGGTTCTCTCCTCAGTCACAATATTCAGTGCATTTTCTTTCTCATGATTGTCCACTATCTCCCTGCAGAGAGAGCCAGGGTGAACCAAAACTTAGTGGACCATAAGTGCTCTGCGACATGAGAAATTAGAGACAAGAGAAGACAGTTTTGAACCCCACCGGCTGAGAACAGGGTCTTACTTTGCTGAGCGGATGTCAATGGTTCCCTTCAGCTTCTCTTCGCTGTCGTTCTCAAAGTACATGAGCTTCGACTCGCGCAGAACGAACCAGCGCATCTTCCAGTTGCGCCGAGACAAGGTGGACATCCCTCCTCCTTTCTTGTAAAGCCAGCCGGATTTGAGGGAGTCCTGCTTGGCCCGAAACCACATGAAGGTCTCGTCCTTGAGCACGCACCAGCGACGACGCCACGGGATCATCAGACCACCTTTTTTTTATTGGGAGAGACGCGGAGAGCAGAGGGAAGCAGAGAGGATGGTGAATTATATTATTTCATGTGAAATCTGAATATGATGTGAGAGGTAACAAATAGCTTTATAAAATAGCTTTAACACCTCTCATAGACGCACAAACAGACATTCACACACATGCATCCTCTGGAAACAAAACACACAACACAAATAAACTCCTATTTCACAAAAAAAAAAATTAAAAAATACAGTGATATTACAAAGTACAAACACTAAAGAAAGCCTATAGGGCATTTCTACAACTGACGAAGCGACCATACGAGCTGTGTTCAGCTGTGCATACATCATGTGCATGCCTGCTGGGCAGTGATTTGGTAAAGCCACTTACTCTTCATGTAGAGGTAGCCGTGGAAGTATGGAGGCCCGCTGCCATTCAGCAGATTCACTCTCCCATTGGAAACTTCCTCATCTGTGTCCACATAGCCATCATTGTCCTCGTCGCTGTCAATGAACTGAAACCCAAACACCAGCGTTTATGATGAGAGAGGTCCTTCATAAGAATGTTTGGCCACTTTTATGGTTAAAAAAAAAAAAAGCATGTGATTTTATGAGCAATTTATATAAGCAACAACTACGACACATATTTAGATAATGACAGCTGCATATTAGCAAGTTCTTTTTTATTTTCTGAAGACTACAGGAAGTCAGAGTCTTCATTTTTGCAATTCAAGCACTTAAATCAGTGTCCAAAAACTCTCTGACCTGGTTGTCACTGTTTGTTAATCAACCTAGCCACAAAACTGGTATATGCACAGCCACACACACTTTTCACATGCAAACACGCACACACACACACACACACACACACACACACACACACACACACACACACACACACACACACACACACACACACACACCCTCCTTGTTCCCTTTTGACATTTTGCTGATCTGACACAGTTGGGTCTGAGCTCTCTGCTTGACTTGCAGTATCTGGGAACAGATTCACGTGTTCATCAGCAGAGCCAAAACAAATAACTGCAACAGTGTTTCACTGTTATTCTAACATGAGCTGAGTCTTTTGATATGTTAGGCTTGCACACGAGCAGAGTGAACATTCAGTTCAGCGCCATCTGTGTTGAGGCAACGTGTGGGAAGCATAGACCTAGAGGAAGTCTAGGTGTGTGTCTGTGTATGTGTGAATAACAGCTAAAGTTAGATGTGACATGGAAATGGAAAATTGTGCCAAAATTTGAGGCCAAAATTTTAAGTTTGCTTCTTCTTTTTTTTTTTTTTTTTTTTTAGTTCAGTTAACTTCTGTGTAAACATAACATCCGGTTGCTCCAGTAGAGAATTTCTGTTCTGGCTAAATTTACAAAATCTACTTCCACTGGACCCTCTGGTGTTGCCCCAAATGATTAACCAGTTGAACTAGATCATTAACAGGTGCAACTCTGCACATTTTCCAGCTGTAACAACTCAGCACAATTCAACATTAAAAGGCTCTTAGGCCTGTTAGTTCTCACCGAGTCCGAGCTGCCTCTGAAAGAGTCCAGGCTGTTCTGGGTGCAGGAGGATTTTCGTAGCACCTCCTCATCTGTGATATGGCCATCGTTGGTGCTAGCACCTGAGCTCCCGTGAACCTCCTCAAACTCCTCCTGGTCATAGTCCGACTCTATGTCTGGCAGGTTTGAGTGGGACGGCTCCTCACCCACATGCTCAAAGACCGACCCCCTGCTGGTGCTCTGGCATGGCTGACTTTCTCCATTAGTGACCACGGGGGGAGGAGGGGGAGGGGGAGGAAGAGGAGGAGGAGGGCCGGGGGTTTGGGAGTCTGTGAGAACAGGGGTATGACTCAGTCCGTTGGGGGTAACTGTGGAGAGCTTTCCCAGTGTAGGAGAAGAGGCCGAAGAGGGGGAGACCATTAGTCCTTCTGCAAAGGCAGGCGGAGGAGGGGGAATACTTTGGAATACTTCCTTGTCCAGAGGAACCACAGCCGGAGGAGGGAAGTCAGGCAGAGGAATGCACTCATCCTCGGCGTGGAAACCCTCGTCTACCTCCTCCTCAGCCAGAGGGGCGGTGGATTCAGTCGGGTCGTGGAGGTTCTCCTCACTCGAGAGGGATGGCTCTAAACCACCGAAGTCCAGCAGCTCCAGGAACTCAGTGGCAACACGGGAAGCTTCCTTCTCCAGTCTGTAGATCTCAGCGTCCCTCATCTGGCGTAGCTCCTCATGAGAGACATCTCCGAGGAGGGACACGCCGTCTTCCTGCTGCTTCTGCAGACGCTCGATCTCTCTCTCCAGCCGCAGGATCTCCTCCATCTGACGGCTCTCTTCCTCAGAGGTGTGACTGTAGGACAGAGACTGGGACAGTTCCTTCTGCACAAGACAAGAGAGAAAGCAACAGTTTATGCCGCCATATTCACATCTCATAATGTGTTTTGTCATACGAACGCCTTTTCTTTTTTTTTTAAAACACATTTCTATGTAATTGTGAAAAAAAATCAATTACCTTCTGACAAGCACCATTAAGTAGTGAGTTCCTAAAAACAAAATAATAATGCATTAGTGATGACAGATAATGTACATTAAAGAATGATCCACATCATCTGATGACAGTAAGAACACCTTTCACATAATACTCCTACTACCTTTTCTTGTCTGCTTTAGCTGCCATTTTCTGCTCTTCCTCTTTCTCCTTCAGTCTCAGCTCCTCCTTCCTCATTGACTCCTCCTCTGCCCTCCTCTTCATCTCCTCGTCCATCAGCCTCTGTTTCTCCTCCTCCTCCTCCCTCCTTCTCCTCTCCTCCTCCATCCTCCTCTTCTCCTCCTCTACTCGCCTTCTGTCCTCTTCTTCTTCTTCTCTCCTCCTCCTCTCCTCTTCCTCCCGCTTCTGTTTTTCCTCCTTGAGCTGGCGACAGAAGGATCGGGCCAGCTGGCCTCTGTGATGCCTCTGCAGGACGATGGTGGCCAAGCGCAGGCGCAGGAAGACGCGTCTCCAAAAGTGAGCGCGGTAGTTCTTCTGGATGGTGACGACGCTGGACAGAACCTTTTTATACTGTTTCCTGGTGAGAGAACCAAACACACACACTTGTAGTCAGTTTAACGTCCAGTCGCCTATTTAATCCAACATTATCTGAGAGAATTGTGTGTCACCACAAACATATTTGTGACGCTGCACAGCACCACATGGCCTCCTCCTAACGCCCGCTGGCGTTCCCTGTTTAAATAAACACACTGTACATTGTGGACAGTGCAATGTTTAGAGTCTGATGAGCTTGTGCTGCTCCATTGTGGCCATGTGGGCTGTTGTGTTTGGGCCTGTGACTAAACCCCATCACCCACACACAGCACATGCATTGAAGACACACGCATATAAACACGCGCACGCACACACACACAAAAACACACGTGACTGAAGGACCACACACAATGCTCTGACTCTCTGACCCATAGCAAAGCCTAGTCTCCACAATAATCACTCCGTGGCCTCTGACTGGTCTCAGGACAGGCTCTGAGCACAGATAATGTTACATATAATAAGACAAAGGCTTTACTTGTGTCTTTAGGGAACTTCCCGAGCCTTTGTCTTTGGTATGAGCGGCTATGAGGGGAATGGGAACCCACAACCTGAATGCTGTCATCAGTCCCATTATACTCTCCCAGCGGACCCTTTCAGAGGACTGTATGTGACCTTATATATGGCTGCATGCAGGTGGAACACAGCTAGATTACATACCTAGGGGTGTCTGCATGTTCAGATTTTTAAACCACCATAGTGACGGATGTCCTGTCTGTCAGGTGGAGTGGACAGGAGGAAAACTTGCTGCTCAGTCTGAGAGGACAGCATCAGCTTTACTGCTGATAGTGTTCTAATAAATTACGACAATTAAGACAGCGCCTTTCCAAGAGTGGTCGAGCTGAGGAGCATCACCAGTACCCCACTGTCTGTCTTTTCAAGATATACTAGTCAAGTGCATGAGACATTTTAATGTTCAGAGCAGAGAGTTTAACCAACATCCACCTTTTTTATTCCCATGAAGTAGCTTTAAGGTTGTTAAAAACATTATTTCATTCATCACTGTGAAAGAACCAAAAAATCCTTCATACTGTCAATTACTTGTACTCACTTCATTAATAATGTTTTGTTCTGGGGATCTTCATTATTAAATAGTACCTGAAAATATTCACCTGATGAGGGTCTGCGTGTCTGAAACGTCAATAATAAAGTGCGAGTGGGATTTTTTTTATTCTTTCACAGTCAGAGTTTGACACTCTCTCGAAGTTTTTTTTGGAGGCAATGGGATCTTGACTAGAATTTAAAAAAAGAATCTGATCTGTTGATTTGAACAATGTGGCTGCACAGTATGAGTTTATAATGACAGGTGGGTCGGCAGGATTTAACAGGTCTATGTGTAAGAAATATTTCACTTATCAAAAAAGAAAAAACTGTGTACCTGCAATCCACTAGAGAATCCATAAAACAACTTCAGCTCTGATACATAAACCCACATCACACACACAAAAAAGTAAACATGTGTGCAAAGGCATGCACATATGCACTTACCCCCCCCCCCCCTTCTCCCTCCAAACATATACACAGGCTGTACACCTCTATTACAAAACAAACACTGACAACTGTCGCTGCCAGTCAGCCCTTCACCCCTCCTCCACACTCCACCACTCACCTTGCCACATAGCTGAGGATGTGGGCGCGGATCACCATGCCAGCCCTGCGCCGCACCTCTTCCCTCTCTTTCTCCAGCCTTTGCTCCAGGGCCTCCTTCAAGAACACCTGCGGGACGAGCAGCGCCACGGCCGACAAGGAGTGACAGAGACAGAGAGAGAGACACAGAGAGGGAGGTTGGGGGGGGTGGGGGTGGTGGTAGGGGTGGTGGTGGAAGGAAACAGGATGGGTTAGTTCCTCCTCTTGGTAAAGGTATAAAAGAGGGCCCACAGAGATGTGAAGGCCCCCTGTTGTCTGTTGGCAGCACCCTGTGCCCACTGCAGAGGAAGCTGTGGTGCAGCTGAGGCTAGCAGGCTAGCTGCTCTCCTGGACTGCAGAGCAGAACAGAGGGGAAAACTGGCACAGGGACTGCAGTGTTGCTGCTGATGCCGCTGCTGCAGAGCCTCATTGTGTTCGGCCGTCCTTCCTGAGCGTTTCCCTACTGCTACTGCTGCTGCTGCTGCTGCTGCTGCTGCTGCTGCTGCGTTGGTAGCTCAACTGACGTGCACAGGCAGAAAGGCACAGAGAGGGAGGGGAGGGGAGGGGAGAGGTAGGGAGAGGAGGGATGGAGGGATGAGGGGGAGGGATGGTGGCTGGTGTCCAGATAGCAAGCCACACCCCTCCTTGCTCTTATGAAGGAAGGAGGAAGAGTTTAGTTAACCCTTCCCTTGCTCCTGGAGACTTTTTTCAAAGTTGGTACTATCTCTGCGGGACATTTGGCAACTTACAACAACCCCTCAACCAAAGGGCTTACAATAAATGAACATACAGTAGTAACATGACATTATAAAAACATAATCAGATTACATCTGTCTGACTGTGTTAGCACGCTGGGAAAACCAACCAGCTGTGTATCTGGGCTTTTGTGATAATGCAATATCTGTTGCTGGCCTGTAGGATCAACCACTTCTATTAGGGAGGGAGGGGTGGGGTGGGGGTGGGGGGGCTTTGAGTGGCTATGTGTGTGTGTGTGTGTGTTTGTGTCCCAGATGTTCCACTAATCAAAGGATCCCACAGCTGCAGCCCTGCCTGCCCCTGTAAAGTCTGTGAGAGGAGGAAGCTTCCTCTTCGTCCACATCCTTCCCTCGTCTGTAAAACAAATGGCTCACAAACACACACACAGACACACACACACAACACACCATCCGTGCAACGTGACCCAAGCCCCTAATTCTGGGCACACACTTCCTCTGCACACAATCGGCACATATATAATTACACACAGATTGTTTCTCCAAAGGAAATGTAGACCCCTTCTGTCTCTCAGCCCCTTTTACGCAACCCACACTACATTTCTCTGAGCCCAGAAATACTGTGCCGCCATCAACAACACAAGCATACGCACAGAATGACACATTCTCAGCCTCTCTGTACATTTCTGGCCTGGTCTCTTTCTCCTTCTCTTTCGCTGTAAAGTGGAGCAGTCGTTAGGACAGAGTCAGCCAAAGGTCAAAGTGCTGACCCTGGAAGCATAATGAAGTTTAAACCACACAGAGGAAAAATGATTTCCACCTCTGAAGTCAGTAACACACTGTGACTCCAGTGATTTACACTGTGTGCATGTGTGACAAATTTAATATACACAGGCATGTGCATATTAGCTTTTATGCACCAGTTACAGTATGTATTCGTTAAGAACCGACATGTGGTTCAAATGAAACTTTTTCGGTCTCAACGTATATTTCACTCTGCCATGTGTGCTGCTGACACTATTCATAGTGCGGCAACTAAACAACGTATTACAAGAAAGCAGTCCGAAAGGGAACCAACAAATTTGAAATGTCTCGGTGATTTTACAGCCTCGCAGGGACCACAACTTAGAGGGGGAAGTAACAGTGGGACAAATGTGGATTTAGCTGATTTCAAGAAAGCCCATAACCAAAAAAAAAAGAAAAAAAGAAAAAAAGAAAACTGTTTTATTTATATCCTCTCTCTCGGCTTCGTAGAGACCATTTCTGCTGAGTCTGACATGAAGCAAAGAGGTTTTGCTGTCCAGATCAAACAAGTCATTAAAGGTTAATCATTCAATGAGAGCGCAGAAGAGAAAAAGAGAGGGCTTTCCGCGGGGGGAGGTGATAATTGTTTGAAATAAAGCACCAGAGAGAGAAAAAGCGAGAGATAAGCATCGCTGAGAGCTGTATTGCAACAGATGGAGATCATAACCCTATAATACAGTAACTTTCCTAAGACGAATGCACGAGATGTGACTTTCCTCTAACCTCTGCTCAGCTGCAACGTCTCATCACTGTAGGCCGCCTCCACATCACTCGCCGGGAGTTTAGTTTATTAAATCAACAGCTCGGTGAGTGTCAAGAGGCTAACACTCTTCCAGCTACAGAAAGGCTGCCTCAGGATTACTGTAAGCCCCCGCACTGGGTTACAGTTACAGTAACAGTTGTTGGTGTCAGGGTTTTTAGGAGTAGCCATGTAACTCTGTGGTTGCCAACAGGAGAGCAGTAGATTGACCACAACCGGCCAGAAAAATCTTTGGGACATGAGTCACAGTGGGGGCCGTCCAAACTGTGGCACACATTAACAGCTTGGGAATGACAGCAGCTTGATTTTTGAGAAAGTCTGTCCCACGCGACCCGAAATGGAACCAATCTGCTCTCAAGATTACATCCTTATGAAAATCATGTGTATGCTATGAATATTTTTTTTAAAAATTAAGCTTAAAAGCAGCGGCGTCCTGTTGAGTGATTGCAGAGTCCATCTCACAGGAAAATATAAAACAGGATATTTCACCTGATTCCTTCAGCCTTCCCGTCTGTGCTCCTGCCTGCTTGGAGCCTGAAACTCTATCCTGTCCGAGCGCATGCAGTCTGCACTTGTATTAACCACACTGTGGGGACAAACATCTGTACACACAGTCGCATTACGGGGGCTCACCTCCCAATCTGGAGACTGAAAGCTGACCGGCACAAAGTAAAACATTACATTTTAAGGTTAAGAGCTAACGGGTGGGGCTGGGTTGGGGTAGTGGTTATGGTTACTTTAAGTATCCAAAGCATGAATGTAAGTCAATGCAGCATCCTTCTAAGTGACAAAAACATGTTTGGGCATGTGTGTGTGTGTGTGTGTGTGTGTGTGTGTGTGTCTGTGCGTGTGCCCCACCTTTGTCTTCCCCAGTTGCCACTCTTTCTTGGCTCTGTCATGGAGTATGAGCAGCTCAGAGCAGCTCTGCTTCTCATCGTCTGAGTGGATTTTGCTCTTCAGGATCATCTTGTACCTTTGGAAACACATACACACATACACGCACAAACACACACACACACCAGCACAAACACACATACAGTATTTACAAACCTTTCAATGCAAAAACACCTAATCTTTTTAACACTCGTGTGGCTTTTTAATCGAGCTGTTTTTTCTATGTAGTTTTCTATGTGTTTGTTCATATTTTGCCGACCTGCTGTAGAAGTCCTTGAAGGTTCTGCGAACAGGAAACCCAGCCCTGCGGATCTTCACTGTTTCCAGCATCCCAGAGTATCTCAGCTGGTTAAGTACGACATCAGGATCAAACTGGTTGGCTTTCTGTAGACGACAGACAACAAAACAGCATGAAACTGCAAACACTAAAACATGAAGAGCTCCCTCTTGTAAATTGATAAAGAATCATGTCATTTTTCTGCAGTAGCACAACACTGAAGGCTGATCTGCATACAGGCTTTGTTCAGCAGTGATGTTTTAGAGACTAAGTATGTGTTCCCTAAATACAACCAGCCTTACCCCACTATCTGCAGGTAAACACAATCCCACACTGTGGAGCCCACATAGCTATTCAAATGATCTTACTGCTGAGTCAAGTTAAAGTTGAACTAAAAAGTAAATTACCATGGCGAGCACTATCATTTTACATTAACAATCAGGTTACTGCAAAGAAAACACACTCCAACACAGAGAAACCTGAACAGTGTTGAGCAAGACCTTGCCAACCAGGAAGGCCTTTTTTTCTGGAAGAATCGGCTGCATTGTTCACAGCTTTGTGTTACCAACGGTCCTCAAGCCTGCTTATTATAGAGGATCTGTGATGTCTGCCGCCTTACACCTCTACACAGGCTGCCTGATCGCTCAGGAGGGCCACACGAAGGCCATTGTCACCCAGAGGGCACGCAGTGCTGGTTAAGCCCCACACAGGACCACAGCATTCCCCAATGTGTCAATCTAATAACAGGCTAATGCTACTATGCATGGAAACAGACATACTTGGACACAAAGGGTACTTGCACACTTGCATGTGTTCATGTTCATAATAAAGCACACACACATGCACATGCACCCCTCTGAGCTCTGAACTCTGCTCTTCAGCAGACGATTTGGGCAGCTGAAAGAGGTACGGCATGTTGATTTGTTCGAGTGAAAACAAGCCGACCCTTCCCTCAGTGACATTTATTCCAAGGAGAGCGGGTGTGTGCAAATCACACAAATACATAAGTAAGTGTGTGCGTGTGCGTGTGTGTGTTTGCATGCATGCAATCATGTCAAAGAACTGCGCATGCAATCCTGTCATTCTGCAGGATTAACAGAGGCACGGCTTGTTCCGTCTTGACCAGATGAAGACAGGTGAGCGAATGTGAGGCAGAGCCAATCAGAGCAAGGGGACAGATACTGGGGGGAAAAAAAGGCAGAGAAAAGGAGACGGGAGCAGAGAAAGAGGCTGAGAGAAACGGCAGTGCGGCTTCCATGCTAATAAGTAAGTGAGAAGGTGTGGAATGACGCATAGGGAGTGGGTGGTAAGGAGCAGAGAGATGAGGACAATCACCACACTGTGTACATTAATAAGTAACAGTAAGATTTTTGAGAGGAGCCAATTTACTCTGTCATGCAGGAAATAAGGAAACAGAGTATAAATATACTCAAAAAGATCCAATGTCAAGAATTAGGATAAAAGTGGTGATTTTGAAAGGGTTTGCTGTAATGTGGTTAAGAGTAGTTGAGGAATAGATGCCTAGTAAATAAATGTCCCACTGTGGTCTTATCTTGGCATTCCACTGATGCAGCCAGATCAGTAGAGCATCAGCCAAGCCGCTGCAGCTGGAGCGGCCAACAGTGACCTCTGACCTTTGGTAAAGGGGCTTAAGTGGTAGGAATGTGCTGGTACACAGCCCTTTTATTTGAGGAAGCACAATGAGAGTCTTTGCACCAAAGCATGAGAGCAATATCAGTTTATTAGTAACGAAAATTTGCAGCATGAAAAAAAAAAAAAAAAGAGCAGCTACTTATCAAGTGGAGCATTTATATGACTTTGCAGTAATGAGTGTCATTACACTGTAAAATTATTTTCTTCTTAGCAGGAGTCATAAGAGCACAGAAACAGCAAGACTAAATATTAGCTCTGAGCAATGGGAGCTATGAATAGCACCAAGGAGGTTTAACTCTGCAGGCGCTGACCTTGACAAGACCTGGCAGGGTTTCTGACATTTTTTTTTTTTTTTTTTTTTGTGCAATGAAATTTGCATGACCTACCTTGTCCATGTTTGGTTTGATGCAACGTACAAAAAAGGGGTTGGAGGCACTTAGTGTGGCCATCAGGGAATGGAGAGAGTCCTGAAACACATCAGCAGCAACAGATGAGAAACTGGCTCTTCAGTCCAAAGATATCCCTTCATGTCTGTTGAATTATGCTAACAGTTAGTTTACTTTGAAAAGGACTGACATGAACTAAGTGGACTGTGTGCTTCTCACTTTGTGGACAATAATACAATAAACACAAGTCAACAAAAACTTAGAAATCTAGACACTCGCTTTGCTGTGCTTTGTCTACAACATATGTGTTTATACGGCTCATTTTAGAAGAAGCTGCCTAAGTAAAAGTACCGATACAATGATGTAAAAACACTCCATTGCAGGCATTAATTAATATGTTACATAAGTACAAGTGTGCATTATGAGCAAAGTATTATTTGCCAAAATGTATTCAAAAATGTATTTAAAGTATCAAAATAAAGTAATGAAGTAAAAGTACTTTGTGACCGTACATTTCTTTCATGGTATTAGTCAGCCCACATTTAGCTCAAAAGACACACGTGTACAAATACACACTACGAGGACCCTTGCACCTCGCAGGCTATGTCAGCCTCGCTCTCCTCGCTGCCTCAGACAGTCTGTCTCCAGCGAGGCCTGGCCTGGCAGAGCTGAGCGTGATTGGCCCCTGGTTGGCCCCTCTCTGCCCAGCCATCAACCCTAATCCCCTGGCTTTAGGAACTGTAGGCCAGGGCAGCCTGCCAAATCCTCCCCTTCTCCTTCTCTCCACACTGCACTTAGGACATGCTAAGCTAAAACCCCCCTCCCCCCGCCCCCCAAGCCTGGCTCACAACCACATATTTCATACATCCCATCAGCCCGTAACAGACAGCATTCTCCTTCCTGCTCTGTCTCTCCATGATTTCTATCCTCTCTTTTTTTCTTCTCTGAGCCCCCGCGCTCACATTCATCATGCCAAACCTAATGTTAAGGGTTAAGTGATCATCATATGCAGCGGCACATGGGAGACAATTAACTCGTTGTCTGTGTGACGACACAATCATGGGCATGGAGCGGAGAGTGATATTTAGGCCACAGAAGCTTCAATCTCACCCTGAACTGAGAGCTGACGGTGGGCTTGCGTCTGGCTGTGCCCATCTTCAGGGTCTCATCTCCATTCCTGCTCCCGACACGCTCGAAGAGGTCGTAGATAAAGTCAAGCCTGCAGGCACACACAGGCACAGAGCAGGGCGTGTGATTGCAGAGACACTTGCATATGAGGTGAATCATGCCAGGTGTGTGTTCAGTGTGCAGAGGAGAAAGTGCGAAACAATCACCTGCTGTCTTTCAGAATAAACAAGATGTCGTCTCTGAAGGTGTCTCTGTTCTTCTCCAGGATCCCTCGCACATCATAAAGCACCTACACAGGTGAAAACAAAGAATTAAGTAAGAGTGTTTACTATTAGGATAAGGTGAGAAATAAAAAGTGGTTTTGTTTACAATTCTTATGGCTGTTTTTTGAAATATGAATATTGGATTAGCTTTTGTTTTATATGCGTTTTCCCACACTTCAACACAGTAGGTGATGTATGGGAGTATGAAGGAACAGTGTAAGGTATATAGTAATAGTGAAGCTTAATTTAGAAGATCTTTGGCTTTATACAGTATTGCAATTGATTTAGATATTTAAGCCCTGACATAATTTATATGTAGCTTCCATCATAAATTATTCTCTATTATTACTCCAAGAGTTTTACTGCTCTCAGAAGTCAAAATGATTAAAACTTTAAAGTCAATTATCATATCATAAATAAAGTATCATTATAGACCCATAACGTAAATGATAGGAGGTTTAGGGTCCAGTACAGATTGAACATTGATGTCTTCAAATGATGGATGACTAACTTCGAAATGAAGCTCATTAATAAATCCATATCTATCCTGGGGGATCATTATCCAGACTGCATAATTAACATTTTTACATGAGAACATTCACACATACAGTATGTGTACACAGTGTGACATGAAAGGGACTGTAAATGCGTGTTTAAGGCTCAGTGCGAACAAAGATGATGGGGGGGGGGGCGTCGCTGTCCTCTTCAAGTAGAGCAGAGCGCCTGTGTGTTAATGCAGTCACCTGTTGAGTTCTGTTCAGCCTTCGTCTTAGCAACATGGCATTCCTCCGCTCGCCCTGAACCACAGTAATGCACTCTGAGTTCGCGCTGAGTGTGTTCACCGGTGTGCGCTCATGCGTGTATACACAAAGTACAGCGCCTATAAAATGTTTCATGCAGGAAAACATTTGCTGAGTAATAATATGATCTATCTGTGTCTGTATCCAAACACAAGCCCATTTTTGGACGTGTGCACACACGAGCTTGTATTCACAGCTGTGTGTGTATACCATAATCCAATAACAACCCCCATCGCCAAGCCTTGAGGCTCACGGTGAGCCGTGAGAACTAAATGTGACGACATATGTATTTATAAATCACAGACACACTAATTACACTGCATTCCTCTCTCATTGGAAAAAGGTTGTACAAAAAGCTATATCTCTCTCTCCCTCTCCCTCTCTCTCTCTCTCTCTCTCTCTGTCAGTTTCAGGTTTGTGAACTAGGATGGTCTCATGATGCCACAGAGAAAAGGGTGTGTCAAGGACAATTACACACAGTTTGAGGGCCTGCTTTGAGAAACATACATTTTTATTAGTTACCCATGAGTTAACAAGGTGTGTTTTTTTGTTTGCACATTCATGTCTGACAATGGCAGACTTAACTCAAACTAACTGCATCTCTCCGACACTGCACAGATAATCAAATCTATGGGAGAATTCTACGACTCCCCCACTAAACTCACGGCACCGTTTCAGATAACAGTGGGAGCTTTCAGAGAGGCGACTAAACTCTTCAGAGAGGCACACTGGACACACACACAGACAGAGAGAGAGAGAGAGAGAGAGAGAGAGAGAGAGAGAGAGAGAGAGCGAGTGAGAACAACTGGCTGGCCTGCCTGTCCTCTCTGGACCAAGTCATTACCATAGACAGCCATGCCAGGCTTGTGACTGAGCTGCCACACTCACACTGAGGAGACCTTGTCTAAGGCAGGCTTCATAAGGCCATTCTTTATCAAAGCAAATCTTTCTACTCTCTCCCGCCCCACACCCTACCCCTCCCGCTTTATCCACTCTCCGTGTTTGCGCTTCTTTCCTGATTTCTTTTGCCTTCCTGTGCACTTCCCTCATGTAAGTAAAGGAAGGAGAGGATGAGAGAGAAGCGGTTTCTCCTGACTCAGGAAAAAGACAGTGGAGGAGGAGGGGTGTGGCATCGACATCCTGGGGCAGATTTTGGCAAAGAAGACCCTACAGGCCATCCAATAACTACCTCACTTCCCCAATTTACTCAGTCAGGGAGAAAAAGGAACCTGGTTTTGCTCTGTGTGTGTGTGTGTGTGTGTGTGTGTGTGTGTGTGTGTGTGTGTGTGTGTGTGTGTGTGTGTGTGTGCGTGCTGTTAATGACCTCTCCAGCATAGTGCTTGATGCCAAACTGGTGGTCAGTCACTCGGGGCTTCACATAGTATAGGTTTGTCTGAGGAGAAAGAACAAGGAGACCACTCACAGTTAGAAATGCTGTTCATGTCTACTTAATGAGTTATAATCTCATCAAGTAGAGTACATCGTGCATTGAGTCCTCTGATAATTTTCCAGAGCCTTTGTTGACTTTTTTTCCAGACCAACAATCTCATATTCAAAAATAAATCATTTGCAATACAATTAATGACAATAGTTTCACTGTTAAAAAAGACATATCATGTTAATAATACTGAGTCTGTTGATATCTGTCTATTGATGTGACTAAATATTAAACCTTTGGCTAAATATTAAAACTGATATAACACAGAGAAAGAAAGGAAGAGGTCAGGTGGTTTTCTGGGTCTCACTCTAACTCTGTTTTTTCCGTCAGCCATGGAAATACCTGTTGGGTTTTCTGAGGACACTCTTTTCTCCTGCACACAATGCCGATCAGGCCCGGAGAATGGCTGATCACATTTCAGCATTGTTATGTTTGCATGTGAGAGTGCTCGGGGGGAGGCGTGTACAAGTGCAGACGTTCATTGCGTTCAACGCAACAGGTGATTCATCAGACAGGAGAAAAAGTTTAACTCTTTGAGGCCGTCTGAGCTGGTGGGTGGTGAAGGCATTTCCCCAAGGAGCTTTGGTGAGGGGATAGGGATCATTTTTATGACTTTGCGAGTGTCTGCCTGGGATGGATAGGGTGTGTATGTGAGTTTTCATGTGTGGGGTGTGGACTCACTGCATGTCGGCTGTGTAATTTCTCCAGAAGGGTATAGTCTGTGCCTTTGGGGAAGCGACTCTCCTCATTGATAAGAGCCAACATGCCCAGTTTCTAAAGGGGAAACAGACAGAGGAGCAAAGAGGGTGAAACACACCGTAGTCATGATTGAACTAGTTATAATCCTACTGGGACACATCTGGTAGCTTTTAGTATAACAATACATCCAGGAAACAGCATAGTAATTCATTCAGTTTTCTCTTTTATTTAGAAAGAGAGGGTTCACTGAGCAGGCACGTTATTCGGCAGCAACAATTTATTTTACATTCCTACATGTACATAAAGTCACACTAATTAACAGCAATCATCTAATAGAGGGCCACTTAGCCAAATCACAAGTCTATCAGCAATAAAGTGGTTATAGTGTAGTATTTTTGCTTCCCTCAAACTTTCCAAGTTTGTGATTTTGACCTAGAAAGCTCACCTCTGCAGAGGCTCAAATTGGCTTCATGCTTCATCTCAGCCATACCTCTAACCGCCGACTGGTGTGCATTACTGTGCACACAACATGCAAAATGAGACTATATAATGATAGACTGGGAGATGGGGGTCAGTGTAAGAGTCACAGTTTGGCGTCTGGGTCAGCAGCACTCTGGCTGGCTGGCGGTTCGCGGTCGGTCCTGGTGGTGACTTTGCTCTCTCAGGGCCTGACTGTCTGTTACCTTCTCTATGAGATCCAGACACTCTGCGTTATCCATCCAGTCTATGGCCTCCCACTGGATCCCCTCCCTGTGAAGACAAGCGTGTGCGCACACACACACACACACACACACACACACACACACACACACACACACACACACACACACACACATACACCATGTATATATATATAAATATAAACAACTAGGAAGACACAATGGCTGTATTGTTCAGAATGAACATGTGATGAAATGAGCCATGTCCAGGCTGTTGGCCCATTATACAAGAAAACAACTGTCTGGGGGAGAATCTGAGCTGATTCCAAACCTCTGGCAGTTTGCCTGTATCGCCCTGAGCAGACCCAACCCCCACCCCTATCTATCTGTGGGACAGTCACTAGAACATGCAAATCCTTGTTTTATTTTCTATGTATCCACCAGCATACAAGCCTGATGTGCAGAAATGGATGTCTCCAACTGTTCTAGACATATCAAACATCTTTACCTGTTGTATTCCAGCTGCTCCAGTGAGAAGATGTGTTTGTTGAAATACTCTTGGAGTTTCTCGTTGGCATAGTTGATATTAAACTGTTCAAAACGGTTCACCTACAGGACAAGAGAATTGTTTGGTTTTGTAACTATCTGTTCTGTAACCAACAGCAAGCACAACAAGATAAAAGCATGTATAACCCTTTCAAAATCATTTAAGTATGAAAAGGACGTGACCTTAGATGAGAGCCTCAGCTGGAAAAAGTTAGATTTAATCACTGAGTTAATCTGTTTGTCCAATTTAAAATCACTGTTCATTATCACTCCCAGATTTTTTACAGTGGGTTTTACATATGGTTCCAGGGAACACAGGTCCATATGAGAGGCATCACAGGCACCACTGGGTCCAAATTTCAGGACCTCACTTTTACTCTCATTAAAGTTTAAAAAAACTGAAGGCCATCCAAGCTTCGATGTCCCTGAGACAGTCCAACAATGGTTTTGAAGAGTTTGCATCTTTCTGTTTAAAGGCAGATAAATATGAGTATCATCTACATAACAGTGCAACAAGATGCCATGTTTTCTAAAAATTGACCCTAAGGAGGCCATGTAAAGATAAAATAGGACGGGCCCGAGAATTGAACCCTGGGGAATGCTCCAGACAAGAGATGAGGATACTGTGGTCCTACTGTGTCAAATGCAGCTGTCTAAAATGGCAGAAACCAGTCTTGAACACCTTAACAATGTGACATATATCTAAAACACTACAACAACTTTTTCCAATATTTTTGAAAGACACAGGAGTATGGAAATTGGTCTAAAACTGTAGGTGACTGAGGTGTCCAGATTGAATTTTTTTGAGCAAAGGTTGCACTACTGCATGCTTAAACCTGGTGCAACACCTGAAGCGACATGGCTGCTCAGATTTATTCAGATGTTTGGTACAATAGTCTAAAAAATCTCTTTAAAAAGGCGGCAGGGAGGGGTCAAGGTCTGTGGGACAAGCTTAGGATTTCATATGAGCAATCATTTCCTTTACAAGAGAAAGAGACACAGGCTCAAACTGGTTAAAAACAGCAGAGCAAGTGACAGTGATGGATCCTTTAAAATGTCAAAAGACACCTGCAACTTGTCTCTATTCCACTTGTGTTCAGCTCTCCTGCATTCTCGTCTGACAGCACGAGTAGTGTCATGTACAGACAGTCCACCTTTCTCCACAGGGCAAAAAACACTGAAATCATAATGCCTTAATCTGAATAAAGCTGGAGTTTAAATCAGGTCATGTTTCAGGACAGCAGCTTGTACAGTTTAGCGGTTGAAGGATTTTTAGAATTCTCTCACTCCATCAGCTGCATCAGGTTTTTTATACAGCTCTCTGACCAGTGCCATCCTCTGTTACACTTGACAATGTAACATCAACAACAAGTTGACAACAAGATGACTTTCTTTCACCTCAAAGTTCTCAAAGCCGAAGATGTCCAGGATGCCGATGGACTTGAAGTTGTCTTTTCCTTTAATCTTCTGGTTAATCCTCATTATGATCCAGGAGAAACACTGAGAGTAAAGCGCCATGGCAACCGAGTCCCGCGAGTCCACTGCCTGCAAATCATGACATGAAGAGATGAGGGTTACCATGGATACCAAGTCAGGCATAAATAATAAGAGAGAGGAAACTTTGCAGACTCAACACACAGTATATTACCATATACATTTCATCAATTCTACCAGATGACGGTAAAAATAATGAGAGGTTTGATGGTTTGGTGTGTGTGTGTGTGTGTGTGTGTGTGTGTGAGGCCACAGAGTCTGTAAAAAAATAGAGGTTTGGAGACAAAGGTGTGTTATGTCAGTGTCTGTCTGCAGGTAAGACGCTGTCTGTTTTCACAACAGACAGCGTCCTTTATCACCTACATATCTCAGGAGTGACGCACTGCAGGCAGTATTTGTCATGTTACAAAATCCAGTGAAAACAAAGGCAAATCAAAATATTATGTAAACATGTTTTCGTAGATATTTTTTTTAATACCCTGCACAACGACACGACACCTACTCTATATCACCTAAGGCCAAACAGCTCACCAGAGATAAACAGACAGAGGCAGTGACTTGAACATTTCAATGTTATGCAACTTCCCTGTTAAAATAGTATTGCACATATACATCCATCCATCAATTAGCATTACAGCTTATCCTTTGAGGGTACCCCACTCTCGCCTAATGTTATGTCGCGATGAGATACAAAGAAAAACAACCATTCACACTCACGCCTACAAGGCAATTTAGAGTCGCCAGTCACCCTAACCTTTGGACTGTGGGAGGAAGCTGAAGGCGCGAGGAGGATATGCAAACTCTACGCAGAAAGGTCAGAATCCAGAACCTTCTGGTTATGAGGCGATAGAGCTAATCACTGTTCCAATGCACCACCGTGCCGTATACATTTATTTATTTATTTATTTATTTTATTATCATATATAATTTGCACATTACTGTATCTTAACTCGTTTCTTACAGCACAAACGATTGTTAGACAATTCAACATTATCAGAGAAAAAACTGAATCTGCTGATGAAGACAGTGGGATGTGGTCAGAAGTTTCCAAGTTTCCAGGGTTGAGAAAGAACTGTCAAATTCAGCTTCTAAGCCAAAATGGATGCAAAGTCCAAAAGGTGCTTAAAACAAATGAAAGTTTGAACATTTACAGATCTGTAAAAGCAAACTCAAACTGCTAAGGAATACCACGTGATACGATTGAGAACAACTTCAGTGGACTTAGTGTTGTGATTGTTTTGTCAACTATCATAACTCGAGACATTACTTTTCTGATTGACGAGGTGCCTCTAAATCCACTCCAAAAACACATTTAAAAAAAATCTATTTCTAATCACCGTTTGACCCAGCTATGATTTTCTCCAGCTGCCACGAAGTCGGCCTCTCAGCCAGACACCATCTGTGTACGTACATAAAAAGCTTGAGCTTGCCAGCTACACTTCCTCCACAGGCATTGTGCTTGAATTGAAAACAAAACAAGAGTGTGGCGGTGTGTACTGTATTTGGGGCAACAATGCTCCTGGGCTTTTGGGTAATCCATCATACCCAGTCACCTCTTGCAACTAGCGGGTGTGAACAGAGTGCTGGTGGCTCCAGGATCTCCGTCACAGGGGTGAGAAGAATGGCTGTTTGTCCAGGATTTAGTGTAGGGGAGGGAGGCGGAGGGGGGAGGGAGGAGGGGAGGGGGCTACTGCAAGCAGTCGTGGGGTGGGTGACCCCTGGCCACTGTGAGAAGAAGCCATTCTTACCGACTCCAGGACTGGAATAATGAACTCTATTAAGAGACAAGCTGCTTCAAAGGCCAGGCAGAACAAGCAGCAGCAGGGTGACAGCACAAGGTCTTTGTCCGGTGATGAAAAGCGTTCTTGTGACTTTCGTGTCCCTGTGATAATAGTAAAGGTCCATTCTGCATATTCGCTGACATTTATGCATATGAGTGGGCCGAAAGCTTGAGCTCAGCCAAAAAGGATTGTGTCATGCATCAGAATGTTCTTGTGGCATATGGTGAAAAGGATAACACATGCAGACGAAGACTTGTGAAATATTCACATTAATTAGAGACAACAGCAAGAACATTTGAAGCAGAGAGAGAGAGAGAGAGAGAGAGAGAGAGAGAGAGAGAGAGAGAGAGAGAGAGAGAGAGAGAGGGAGAGAGAGAGAGAGAGAGACACATGAGTGAGTTATTGGGCCAGCGTCTTTGGGTGTCTGGCTGCGCTGCCTCCAGAGGAGAAGACTCTCGCTTCAGCCCCAGTCATTGGCTCTATTGTGCTTTTGACTCAGATCACTATCATGATGGCTTTATTGTGCCAGGAATCTGGCAGACAAAAAGCAGGAAATGGCTGGGAGTCACGCAAGGGATCTGGAGAGGCATGTGGGGGAGAGCGCCGGAGAAAGGCTGTGTGTGTCACCAGGACAGGGGAGGGAGAGGAGTGAGGATGGGGGGGTGGGGATGGGGGGGTGGGGGGGTGTGTGTGTGGGGGTTGGTGGGTGGAGTTTACAAACAGGCATCTACTGTATGTTTCAGTGTCTTGACGGTGAAAACCTCTGGACGATCCCTAGCACCTAATATATTAGGCTGAAATCTGGGTAATAAGAGAAAGAAGGCAGGATTGTTGTGTGTTGGCTGTATGATTCTTTCATGAGCAGTGGAGGAGGAGGAAGTGGGTTCAGATGCATTGTTACCTGCTCCACAGTGAGGGGTGAGCAGATCTCCTCTCCTCTGAGGATCATGGAGCGCTGGGTTAAGACCTCTGACAGCTGGAAGGAGTCCAGGCCGAGCAGTTCACTCACATTACTGACCACTGAAACACACACAGACATAGATATACACTTCCACAATGTATGACAAACACAGAGCGCAGACAGTTCAGGTGACGCCTATTGATGTTAAACAACAGATGTGACATACAGACTGTGATCCTATACAGTCTATAGGAAACTCCAATCTGTTGACTTCTGCAGTCACTGTAGTTCAGTGGTTCTTTGGAAAAGAGGTCAGACACAGCGAACAAAGGAGCCTTGAGCTCATGTTACAGCCTGTTCAGTGCTCTGTCTGCGAGTACAATGTCAATCAAACTCAGGGGCATGAGGAAAACTGCAGAGTGGTCCAACATCAGTGGTGAATTTATTATCTGCTTTAGAAAACAGAGGTTTCCTACAATAAATTCCAGCAGAAACAACTGGTTGTTTTAACCGGGCTTAACCACTTAAAGCCACATGTTCCAAGTTTTCCACTTTCACAGCATTAAACTTTGATAAAACATTTTTTTTCAACTGTTTGATAAACATCACCTACATTTGGGATCTGTCTGGTCCAGAGCTTGCATGGATTTTAAGTTAGTAAGGTTCACCAAAAAGCTCATGAGGTTGAAAAGGTTGGCTGCTTGTTTGTCCTGATGCCAAAGGAGAACTTGTTTGGTAAGCAGTGTAATCCTTTTCCCAATGATTTCCTAATTTAGCACTCGATTACAAACAGGAACCTCAACTGCTCAGTTTAAAGCTGAGTAAATTTTCATTCATTATTCATTTAATATTGGAATTGGAATTCACATGTTCATCTAACCTGCTGTGTGCCGACCTGAAAGACTGTGTATGAAGTGCAAAGCGAGTGAGTGTAGTCTCTATTTGACCTCTATACTTATATACCAAATTACATAATTCTTTCTAGAAAATGATTAAGACATTACTCAAAAAATCACAGATATGAAGCATTCCCAGAAGTTCCTATTGTCACTTATATGTGTGCATCAAAGTTTGAACATTGTGCTGCAGATTGAAGATGTGTGCAACACTTTTTTCAAGATCATTCTAACTGTGTAAGTAGAGCTGTTGTATATTATTACACATTGTTATATATACATACCCCCTTTTGAAGTGATCTGAGCTCCACCAGCAGTCATGAACTCAATGTTGCCCATCTGGAGGACAGCAGACAGCAACTTGAACACATCTCTGATCTCCTCCTCTGTGAATTCCATCACTTTCAAAGCCTCCTGCAACACAACACAGACACAGTTAGACAACATGTCAGACAAAACTCTAAAACCATGTGAGAGTAGGTGAACTTTTACTTTAACTTTTGCTTTGCGTTATAAAACAACACCGTTTAGAATTTGCCTCCAAAGCCAACACAATCAATATATCATGTTTCCCCCAGGTTTAACTTTGTGGAGGATATGTCTCCGTCTTGTACAATACGCTCTTGATGAAGGGTTATGGCGCCCTCTGGAGGTAAAACAAACACAAATATCTAGTGCTACTTCCTCTTCTTCTTACCATCACACAGTCAAAGAGCTGCTTGTCATCCAGACTGCTGTCCTTCACACAGCCTGACTGGCTCAGGTAGTGATATGACTCAGGACCTTCAGACAGTAAGTACATGTCTGCAACACAGAGAAATGCAGACATTAACAATGACCGAAAGAACATTTAAGCCCGATAGTGCAAAAAAAATAATAACATACACAACCAATTCTTCTGTATAACCTTGGTAGAGCCTTTACTTTGTGTTACTCGTCTCTTACTATAGCCTACAAAGCAACAATGCTGACCATCTAACAGTCCATCATGTGGCCTATAGATTTAGAGCTAGCTGGTAGAGCTACAGATAAATGTTTCAAAAGGAAGTAAGAACCTCAAAAAGTAACATTAGCTCCCATTTGTTCACATTGTTTTAGGGTAGCTTTTCATTATTTTTGTGTATATTTGATTATCTAAAGTAAACTCACACCTGGCTTCCTACCATTTAGGATTATTCACCATTTAGCTCTGGAGCTGCTTGAAGAACATATTTTAATCATTTTGACACAAAGTTGGCGACCTGCTATTACTATTGGGGGCATAGAGTTTCTTAAGTTGTTGGTACCCTTGTAACCCCTTACTCTGGTGGCTATAGTTGGTCAAGAACGTTGAGCGTCCCTTTAGACTCTGCCAAAAACAAACCTCTGTGGTCTTTGTCAGCCCCTGCTAACAGCGCGTAGAAGATGTGGTAGTTTCTCTCTCCGGGATTCTGTCGAACCACACGGTTCTAGGAAAGAGAAAGAGAGGATGGTTAGAGGAAAATGTATTTTAATACTTTGGATTTTGCTGATGAATCTGGTACAACATATTACATGTTGGCAACTGAACGTTTAAAATCTGCACAAACTTACTTTTTCCAGCAAATCTGATTAATCATCGTCAAGGAGAACAATGAGAACTTTCAGTAACCGTGTCCTCTGGACCAGATGCTACAGAGATCTTATGTCTTTACAGAATATATTAGTGAACTTTTGAAGGATACAGTCGATGATGCAGCCTCCATGAATGTTCCCATTTTGGGAAAAGTGGAGCTGGATGAACTTCCCAAAGCGACTGGAGTTATTGTTGTACACAGTCTTAGCGTTCCCAAATGCTTCCATGATGGGGCTGGAGAGAGAGAGGAGGTCAAGACAATCAAATAATCTTCTGTTTGTTCCTCTGCCAAGGAACCTTTGAAATGTATCCAGCAACTGCCTATAATGCTTTCTACTCTGATGCAGATGTGGATCCAGATGCAGATTTAACATTTCTTAAAATTTTCAACAGCCTTGATAGAAGTATGCACCCTAACACTATTATCTAGTTTCTCATGTTTTATACCTCCAGACTGAGCCAACTGTGTCAGTGACTAAAACATATTGGATATGTGAATGAAATCTAGCACATAAGGGATTCCTCTCTGATCAGTACTGTGGGTTGCCACAAAGAGACGCAAACCAAATAAATACTTTTTGTTCAATCCTTAAATTCTGTGGTTTTTAAATGTTTGCAACCCACAATGGTCTAAATTGTGTTTTAGAGGTTTCTCCATCCTGCCAATAATGCAATTTTGGTGGAGCCCTTATCAATCACTGGAAAGAAATCAATTTCATTATCACAAGGATGACATCAAATACTGAGTTAAACTAATCTTATTGACATTACTCAAATGTGGTTAGGACCGTGCCTTGGTGAGTTCATGGTGCAGGACAGACAGGACAACACAACATACTCATAAAGTCATATTGAAATAAACAAAATAATGAATATAAAAGCTGACAACAAAATATATCTGAAAGGGCCAAATATTCATGATTCAGAGCAAATGCAAAATATCACAAATAATAACAAGGAAAACATGTTTATTACTCTTCAACTTTTAAAATCATTCTTCAGAAAAGACAATTCAAACTATAACAGACCTGCTCTGGACAAGGGCCTGCTCCACCCTGGTGGTCCTCTCCGACGGAGGAGCACCTGCTGAGTTTTGACTCATCACGGAGAGAAACTTCAGCAGCAGCTTGGTGCTCTCTGTCTTCCCAGCACCACTCTCCCCACTGAAGACGCAACATGCACAGTCAGACAGGGAGAAGAGAGAATTTGGGGGAAAATGCCACATAAAATTCAAATTAAACGCAACATTCAGGGGAACTATGTGGCAATCAAATATCTGAAAGGGCTCGTAACTTAATCCATACTGAACGGCCTCTTATTTTCTCCTCAGTTCTCACCTGATGAGAACGCACTGACTGTCGTGCCTCTTCCACAGGCAGCGGTAACACTCATTGGCCACAGCGAAGATATGAGGAGGCAGCTCCCCCATCTGGTGTTTGCTGTACAAATCCACTGCAGTGCCGTCGTACAGTCCTGCTATCTGCTTGTAGGGATTTACCGCTGCCAGGATAGAACCTATGTTAGTCTGAAGGAAATGTAAAAAACAGACACGAGGGTGAGGGAGAAAAGGGAAAGGAGGATAAAAAAAAAGGAAGGAAGGCAAAGAAGATTAGCAGTGAAAGATGACAAAGAAAAAATGCTTTTAATCCATTACCAAACACGGTACAAACATTTAACCTTTGTATGAGAGCTGTCGCACAATTACTTAACAATATCAGTTCTGCAGATTCACCCAGTTTCCTGTCTCCTTCCTCTGACACGTTACCTGTAGTCACTAATACTCTAACTACTTAACTACTGCGCATGGCCTAATTTGCACTGAGGGTGGTAGTATTTTAGGATCCGTTTCTCCTGCGCGGGCAATGCGCTTTGGGGAAAAGTGCCTCACAAAAGTGTGTTTGTGGGTCATCATAACGTTCTGTGATGCTGTGTAGACAGACCGGGTGCAACCTCTGGGATGAGATTAGGAGATAGGATTTCCAAAAACATAGTTACCATGTGTCTGTGGGCAGTGATTATTTTAATAAAGCCCAGATAGAGTTTCAAGGGAACGTCAGCGGACTTCAGTCATGAAAATAATCCTGGGTATGAGAGTGGGTCAAACCAACATATCTGAGATCTGATATTCTTAAAGGAAAAACACAGCTCTTAATTTACAATTTCTTATTTCACTATGGTTTGAGGTTCACTGTTATCTGCATCATTTCGGTTTAAGTTAGTGATAATGTGTATTTCCTGGAACATCCAAACTTGTTTTATTCAGTGGTGACTGTGTACATGCAGTGGAGAGAGTGAGTACACTAGAAATTAAGCATTTTTTTCTTTTTCTCATGAGGAAGTGCGGGTCATGCTCCTTACTCAAAACACAACATCATATCTTACTGCTTCATTGCACTTGCCTAAAATCAAAAAACTTAAAAATGAACTTTGCTGCTGATGTTTGTGTGATGGTTGGAGATTTGTTATACCCTGAAATCTCAGTCGAGCCACGCTGCACATCCTAGTTCCCAGAAATAAGAAAAATACACCCCTGCACAACACAACAGACCCACAGAGGCCAGGTACATCACGGTGGTGAAATATGCTCACAGACTGAGACAGTGCGGTGCCTTACGTAGATGTTGTCTTTCTGGTAGCGCAGAAAGAGGTTGTGCATGATGGCGGCTTCATGCAGCTCTGCCAGTGTTGACATGTCCTCTACTCCGTGGACACTGCTGGGGTGCATCGGGTAGACCGTCTCTCTGTTCAGCTCTGCCTTCTGTAGGTAGAACACCTGCAACAACAACACACACACACACACACACACACACACACACACACACACACACACACACACACACACACACACACACACATCCAAACAGTTCCCGGTTTGATTCATTGAAATTTCAATTAACTGATTAATTGACATTTCAGGACCACAATGCACTGCTGTCAAGGTTAAGTGCACAGTACATAACTTAACTTAGATGATGCAATAACCTCCTGAACACTTCCACTATCTCCTGTCACAGGTAACAAAGGCAGCCGACACCCAGAAGCTCCAGGGTTTGAACAGCCCTTATGCAGAAGTGGAGCAGGAGGACAAGTTTACACACATGCGAATCAGACTGCTGGCACAACATCTGTCTCCCACTCTGACCGTAGCACGTGAATGCACGGATGACAGGCAGATTCAAGAGAAGATACAGGAATGACCGAGGTTAAAATGACAGACTTGATGTGTTCCTGCCTGTGCCTGCCGTCAGCATACCTGTACGGCAGCCAGAGAACACCTGTCTGACACATGCCCGGACCGCTCTCAGAGATTTGTTCGGTTACACTTTTCACTCTCTGTACGATGAATCTATCGCATGTCACATTTCTGCAACGAGGCCAATTAGATGTGGTAGTGGTGAAGTAAATGTGATGACTGGAGATGTCCTTGTCTCGACTTTCAAGGCCCATTTTTAGATGTGAAATGGATCGAAAGGGAGAGGGAAAGAGACAGAGAGAGAGAGACAGACAGACAGAGAGAGAGAGAGAGAGAGACAGAGAGAAGATTTACAGGAATCTCTCCAGTGACAGTGAAGCAGAAAAACAGTTCCACAAACCAACAGAGACAGACCCTCTGGTTATCAGAACTCTAATGGACGAGACGTGAGATAAGAGAACAGACAGACTACAACTGTGTTGGTCACTTGATGGGAAGCAGTGTGTAGATCAATACTGATGGACAAGGGGCTGGGGTTGCGGCGTCCCAGCGCATTACTGCTGGCTCTTCTGGCATATTCAATTGTGTCCGTTCCAGAGAGCTGCTGAGTCAGCACAGAGGGCCTGCTGGGGCTCTGTGGGAGCTGCTGATTGAGGGTAGACAAAGGTTTAAAAGGGTTTAATTGATTATTTGAAGGTGCAACTAATAAATCTGAGGTTTTCCTTTTTGTATTGGACAAGTACTGTTTTGAAATGGAGCCCTTAATGCAGTGGAGTTGAGCCGAGGTGAAAGATGTTAAAACGCGCCGTAAAGCTGAGGGTAACTGATAATTCTCTGTGGGTTCTCACTACTAAGTGACACCCTTACACACAGTCATTTGACCTATTGTTAATATTGAAATATTGATTGGTGTAGCTTTAACAAAGTCAGTGGCTTCACAAAAAAGCCTTAAGACCTTCCATTACCGTCTTTGTTGTTAAATCATAGACAGTGCGGCACCAAATCTGTTTTGTATTATGAAATCTCCTCTTTTAGTACACTTATCCAAATACAGGTATTTAATAGGAAACATACACACTACAGATAAATACAGAGGATATGAGTCAGCTGCATGAAGATATGACTGAAGAAACCATCCTCTATGTAATAATGTATCTATGTCTCATCCTACACATTATAGATGTGTAGCATGTCCATTTCAGCTATAGATGGCCGATAGAGAATGGGCGTACACTGAGACATAAGCACAATAACAATGCAGTCCACAGTGGGTTGCTGCATATTTTCGTGGTATTAGAGTTTGTGAAAGGCTGACGACTTTGGGGAGAGAAGCAGCACGAGCGGTGATGTCATCCATCGAGCAGGAGCTTGCAGATTTACAGCCAGATGTCCTTAAACATTTGGCTTTAACTCCACCCTCTCCTCTCTGGCTAACTGGCCTGGATTCACCAGACAGAGCCAAACTGACTAATAAATCACACAGGCTTTTCTCTTGTTTCACATCCTTAATCAGCATTATCATTTTATGTTCAATTACATCAGTCACTTAATGTGATTGATATCATTATCCACACCTGGGCACAGCATTGCCGTTGACTTATACAGGATAATATACTGATTATCATATATGTGGATGAAAAGGGACAAGAATGTGCTGCAAACCAGGAAGTATCACCCGCTCTCGGATCTGAGTTCATTTTCTGCTGACACTGATGGAGAGACGCTGTGTCCAACATCCAATCAAATAAACCACAGATATCTGGGCTACGTCTTCTGCGCGTGTTAGCATTCTTTACATTCCCAAAGCACAAGTTCAAAGTTGCACTGAGGTGGTTGGAAGTGAAGATAATACGGGATAACAAACAACTGGGAGAGGCTGCGGGACAAGATTAAATTCTCAATTTCACCTCAAGTTTCACAGCTGCTTCAGCCAAACACAACATGAGCTGTGAGCTTGGAAAGCACCATCACCACCTCCTCTAGAAATATATATATATACCCCAAAGGAGAGGGGTTGTTTGTTCATATTTTCGAGTGTATGCATCTATAGGCGTGGGTGCAGATTCGCTATGCGTTTGTCTGTCTCTGCATCATATGGTATGACCTTTGTTTTTGATCTTCCTCAGATAACTAACTGTTCAGATTTCACAGCATGAGCCTCAGGGACTTTTTTCAGAGATACTCAGGAGAAAACTGGAACTGGAGTTTCCAGCATCAAAAGAGGTTTCACATTCCTCTGTTTTGCCCATATGTGTCCTTTTATTGCTTGGTTTCATTGTTGGTTTCATTCCTGTGAGATAAGTCACTGAGCTCTGTCTTTGTAGCCAAAGCAGTTCTTATCAATATCTATTCATCTTCTCATAAATTTGTTTCCAGATAATTGCCTGACTAAACAACATCCTGTTTATACAGCTAAAGGGAATCTAAGATTAAACACGAGTGCAGATGAGGTCTAGACTTATACTTCTTATTGTTTCCACTTCAATCTGGATGAGGTGCAATAATGGTCTTAGTGCCCATTATAACTATCAGACATACTGGAACATTTGCCCTGTGGGAGCTGTGAAGCAGTCAGCCTCTGCCCCATGTGATGCTACCAAAAACACTCCAACCACGGCTTGACTAATCCAACCCAGTGATGTAACACTGTGTGTCCACTGTTAATTGATTTTCAACTTCCAAAAGACAAATTAGATCACAGTTTGAATCAATGAATTTGCTCTGGGTTCATAATCAAAATTCATCAACCAAATCAAATTTATTTGGAGCACAAATTTGTTTTAATTAAAGTCATTATTTCCTTCCTGGTCGTGATTTCAGTCGGTGCATGTCAGACAATTATCACAATTCACATGGGGAACACAGCATCATCAATGTTAATGATATGAGCGCTGTAATGGTGGCCGGAGCTACAACAACATGCAACAACATGTGACTTGTGATTGATTAGTGAAAATGTTCACTGTAAAAAAAAAAAAAAAAAAAATCAATCCTTTCCAGATGGAGCCGGGTGTTGACACTATAGTTACGCTACACAGGTCAAGAGGCTGCACACAAAACAGAAAAAAAAAAAACACCAGACGTCTCAGTGTTGATTGAAACTATTGAGTTCGAAAACCCACCGAATCTTACACAGCTGTCCAATCCACTCCAAAAGATGTACACTGGACAGAGGGTGTGTCCTGGATAACTTGTGTTAATTTTAATCTATTATCTTTTGTATATTTTGTTCTTCATAACAGAAGTCAACAGACAAATAGTAAATAGAGGTATACAGTATTCTGTCCAAAGAGACATTTCAAAGATTAAATAGAGAATAAAATATTCAATGTAGTAAAATATTCCCAGCAAACAATTAGAATAGATCATCAATGTATTATTGATCAATGCAAAAATCTTTGACAATAATTTTAACAATCAATTTTATAGTTTAAAAAAAATCCATCCATTCTCTGGTTCTCCAGTGTGAGGATTTGCTGCTTTTCCTTGTGACAGTAAATGACAGCGATATAGGTTTTAGACTGATGGTCAGACAAAACAAGCAAAGTCTCACTGAAATGATACAGACTAAATAGTGGGAGCAGTTTTTTCTGATGATGATGTCATAGTATCCGTCTGAATTTTAAAACTTTCTTGCAGCTGTAACGTTCCTTCCTTTTGTTTCCACCTCACCGAAACCACACCCTGCTGCTGCTTTGTTCACCCAGCTCTGCTGAATATTCACATATAGGCGGGGTCAGGCTCAGTGACTCAGAGGACTTATGCTATACTGGGGCATTTATTCAGGCCTTTAGAAATAGCACATGGGCAGAAACAAAATCACAGGCTTGTGGACACAAACACAGTTTTGTTTATCACTGTCTGTTTGTGCCTCCCTCTCGTTTTCTTTTTTCTTTTTTTTCCACTCTGTCTGACTCTCTCTCTGTCTTACAGTGAATCCATCTGTTGAAGGGGGATCCCGCCCAGACCTGGGGGGATATGAGGGGGAGCAGAGGGGGTTAGGCTTATTAACGGGTGAAAACTGTGCGGAAAAAAAACATAACAGAGAGAGAATTTCACATCACAACCAGCTCAAAAAAACAGGCAACAACTTTCTTATTGATATTGCCTAATTTGGCAGACAGCAAACCTAATCCTATAAATATTTGTTTACCACACACTCAGACACAGATACTCACAATAATGTTTGTGTGAGCATGTTGCTTATCACGCTAATGAATGCACATCACTGACATTAAGGCTCACATAATGGCTCCATTGACTAATAATCCAGAAAACACTGAAGGGCCATCAATGACCTATTTAAACCTCACAGACTGTATGGCTACAGGGCCTGGACTACTTGGGAGGAGAGAAGTCTCATCTCTTTCATTCAGGCTAAAAGACAATTTGTTAAGAGCAAAAGAAACACCTGAAGAGAGAGCAAAGGGTTTATGGTATGAGCTATATGTATGTGAGCAATATGCACTGTATGTGCCAAATGATTCATGCATAAAAATGGTATTTGGGCCTTGTAGAACAACACAGTCTAAGATCGTTTTATTGTTCTATAAGATGAAGATGACATCACCAGCAGCAGCTATTTAGTTCAGGTGACAGAGGCTTCCTGCTTTTCTTTACATGTGCACCCGTCTGGGGATAACTCACACACTGTTAATCCAGCTGGTGCCATCTGGCCACAGAAAACACACACACACACACACACACACACACACACACACACACACACACACACACACACACACACACACACACACACACACACACACACACGGATGCACTCAAACACACATCGCCACAAGACATTCAGCTCTCAGCTTCAGTGTGTCTGCTGCTTCTTCAGGCCCACTCAGGTCTGTGGTGTATCACAGATGAGACAGTGATGAATGCTGATATGATGGTTAATGTGAAAGCAGCCAGCTCAGTTTGTTAAAGCCGAGACAGTGTATGTAAGGACGCTCTCCGGCGTCTGCAAGCTGAGCACTCAGACAGGGAGCAGCAACTCGGTATGAGCTCTGAAGCAATGAATAATGGTATATACCACTCCCTGAGGGGAAAATGTTGCCAGGATACATTTACCAAACCCGTGGGTGTAAAAAAACACCAGGACACAGACAAAGACAGACTGACGGAAAACTCATATGAATAATAGTGTGAGTTTTCTAGAGGAGAAGGATTAAGTGAAAGATTGTGTCTGGATCAGTAAATGCCAATAAACCTCAGCAGATATGTAATCCAGGAACAGGGATCACATAAGGTCAGCCAGGGATCCTGGAGGTGGAGACGGTCAGTTTCTCGGTCTCACATTCCTGTCATTGTGGCTGCATAGTCTTAGGACTTGGACACAGAGGAAGCATCCACATGTCTGGCCTGATGACTAACACATCCTGAGCTCACATATGAGGATCATATGAGTACACAGTCTAGCTTCAGGTCAGCTGCAACGCTGTGGTCCAAATCAGTCCCAAAAATGCCATGCCACGCAACCTCAGTGTTATTCTTTTGAAGGTGGTGAGATGTTTTTTAGACCGAGTACAGCATCTGTGGTATTCAGTTATATTTAGACAATAAATAAGAAGTGGGGGCCTCATTCCTTACTCAACCTCTGACCTGGTGCTGTGATAGATGGGGTTTCCATTGGTCAGAATCACCCCCTACCCCTCTGACAACACATGGTTGACTTCTCACACTTCAACCATCCCCAGCACTCACCACAGAAACATCATTAAAATATAGAGAATGGACATAGATGAGATCATATGTTCCCTCTCACACATCTTTTTATAAAGCTCTACCTTTGATACAAAACACACGATCCGATCCGATCCGATCCGATCCGATCCGATCCGATATGATACGATATGATACAATGCAACTTTTCTTCTTTACCATAAATATTAGCAAAACAAGATGCTCTGGATATCTACTTTCATTCCTCAGTGGGACAAAACAACGACATTTTTTCTTTTGTCTATTTCAGTAATATTTTATGTAATAGTATTAACTTGATGTGGAATATTGAGAACCAGCATACCATAATCAAATTTGAGAAAAAGCTTAACATTATGATGTTATTAGCTTAACATGTTAATGAGCACTTACATATTCAGACATCCAAGAGCCACAGAACAACATAAGAATGTATTTAAAGTTGTGTTTGACTGACAACTTTAAGTGCAATATTCGCTCTTCCTGCAGCCCTTTGTTACACTGACGAGAGCAGTGAGAATGTTGCCAGACATAATGCCAAAATGCTAAAAAAAGCTCCCATGAGCCACAGGCGTCCTTCTTCAGATCACCAGTGAAGGGCTCCAGTGAAGGAATAACACGGAGCCTTGGCTTGTGGTTGGGATGACAGATGTGAGGCAGAGGCTGGATGTGGAAATTATGCTATATGTCTAGATCCTGTGGACAGAATTAGTCCTTGGGCCATACCTTGTTCCTTCCCAAGGCCCTGATCCGATCAAAGACCGGCGGCTGAGTTCAAGGTTGGAGCTAATGGACAATTGTATACCCAGTTCATCTCTTTTTTTATGCATAAAAGCATTCCGCAAGATAAGAGCTGTGCTGGAAGCTCTGTTTTGATTTACACTCTCCGACTCCCCTTCTAACATTGTGTTAGACGCTATTTTTTTTTTTTAAACGTCCATCGTCACCACTCTCTCTCTCTGTCTGTCTGTCTGTCTCTCTCTCTCTCTCTCTCTCTCTGCCGCTCTAACAGGATTTCCTCCAGACACAAAGACCACCATGCGCTGCCAAACAGATAAGCTCAGGCCAATGACTTGTCACAAGGAGCCCATTCCTGTCATTCTTACTTTATTACAAAAGGTGTTGATCCCACAGCTGAGTCCTGAGATGAAACATGTGTGCAAACAATTAACTCTCACATATACACTGCACTACTCCCTTCACATATTATAGTTCACCCCTGTACATTTTAATAGAAACCGAGGGCAGATTTTACATGTACACTCATCAGTCATAGCCTATGAGATATTTGGTGTCAACCTTAATGTACTGATATGATTTTTTCACAGGCTTTGGCTTCAAAAAGCGTTTCCTTGCCTTTAGGGTGGTCTTGCAAACATCGTGTGAATCCCTAATGCTCCTTGGTGCAGAGAGAGCACACAGATGAGGGTTTGAAGTGAATCATTGGCAGCATTAATGGTTCAGCGGGGAAAAAATAAGTATTCTTACCTTCCCATAGTCGGTGGTGAGGACCAGGGAGGAATCATCACAAGAGCTGACGGTGGAGGGGAGGAGCTGCTCTTTGTGTCTCAGCCAGACACGGGCCCCCTGCAACACAATAGCCAGCAAAACACCATTAGCATCTGGACACAGGACTCATATTGGAGTCATCCGTTTCATAAGAAACTATGGACATTTGCATTTCAAACACATTTTAGAAGCTAAGCCGATGCTATTGACACATGTGTAGCCCATTACTAGAAACCAAGGAAGGCAAAGGTCAAACCAGAAATAAATAAAAGAAATATTCCTGGCCATATTTAGGTTTATTTTGGATGTGTCAGGTGAGTAATACTGTAACTGTTTAGTTAGAAGAGTCAGCAGAAAGTACGCCCTCTGGTTTTTCTTCTCTCACTGTCTTTTTCCATTTTCCCTTTTTCTCTGCTTTGCCACATAGCTACTTGCTCACCACACCAGACTGGCACAGTTATCCTCTTATTAAACTGTCATTGACATTTAGTGGAGAAAAGTTGTTTGCCAGGCCTGCATGCTGAGGGTGTGCCTGAGACTAAAACTACCGCTCAGAGAAATACAAACTCAGTAAAACTGTCGGAAAGACTTTCAGTCTTTGATTGTGGGGCTAATTTACTCCATAAAGGAGAAGAATATTGCCGTAAGTGAGTGTTTGCCACTTTAGCAAATCAATCAATACAAATGTTTCTCTGCCTACCATCCTTTCTTCTTTTCTACATTTCAATGGGGCAAACCACAGCACACACTTCTCACCATTTACTCAGATCAGACCCTGGTTCCAGACAGAGATAAACACCAACTCTACAGCTGATCTGGGCGGCCTGGTCTCCTGTGTTTGTGTATCCATGTGAAGTCACTGACCTTCCCAGACATGTTTGTTAGCAGCTCAGTAACCGGGAGCAATAACAGGAATCTGAGGCTGATTGCTCAAACGGTCATTTCCTTACAGTGGTGGAAGATACACTTTGAAATGAGAACACCTCTGCAGTCTTATATGGTAGTGTGACTAAATCCACATTTGTCAGGGTAAAAAATAACAAAAAAAAAAACTTTACATTACATTACTTACATTTTAGAAAATGCTTTCTTGTCAAGAGTGAAGATACAACTCTCATGTCTATCTGTTAAATTCAAGGCTACAGCCGGCGGCTGGTTAGCTTAGCTTAGCATAAAGACTGGTGACAGACGGAAACAGCTAGCCTGGCTGTGTTTTACTTCAAAAGGTAACAAAATTTGTCCACCAGAACCTGTAAACCAGCAGCGGTGTAAAAATGACAATCTGTTGTCTTACAAGGGATTGTGACAGTGGTACTGCTCTTCTCACCTTACAAAAAAGTCTCAAAATGTGTAACTTTTTCTCCGAGAAGCCTGTTTGTATTTCCTCAGTCTATTCTCTTAACTATAAGTAATGTGACCCAAATTGAACATTTTGGTTTTGAATGTAAGACTTACAGGCTATACAGTATAAAGAGATTTGGCCTGAAAGTCACCCTCTCTTGCAAGAAGCTTTGACCAACCAAACACCATTATTCATCAAAAGTGCCACCATCACGGTGGCCGGGGTAAACACAGAGCAAAAGGGAATTGTGTGTCCAACAGAGCATAAAAGTGGAGAAATCAATATGCATGGATTCCTCTAGGAAACCTTATACAAGGTCACCACTTCCAGACATCAATCCTCATTAAGTATTAACAACAGGCTGCCACGTGTGCACACACACACTCACATCTACAAGGCACAAATGCGTTTGCTTCCAGTGTCAGGACAAAGATCAAGATGCTTTGGTTTAATACACAAGATGTTTATGTGAAATACATTCCGCTGAATCACAGAGACAAAGAGGGAACTAGTCCAACATAAAGAATTATTCAGAATCCATTAAATTAACTTGCTCAACAGCTCAGAGTGACGACTGGCCTCTGGTCTTTCCTTTATTTTGTGATTAAGGCTTCCTTCTTAGACAAAGGGTCACTCAGTCCAACCAGCCAGTCTGAAAACCTACTTCCATCATCAAGGATTTTTTTTTTTTCAGTCAGCCAATGGAGCGCAGCTAAATAATGTGGCTCTCTCAAACCACAGGGGACAGCGGTGAGTGGGATAAAGGGGTCGTGTAAATTAGGAGGAGGCTGAGGGGGGAGAGAGAGAGAGAGGGGAAAGAGGAAGGGTGCAGACACCTGATAATGTCCCGCCTCCCATTGTCTGGAAAAAGGCAGACAAACATCAGGACACAAATATAACAGAAGTATTCACCGACACGTGGCCTCACATTAACACAGTTTCCATATAATGTAAGACGATTGGTGGCATCCAAACCAGTGACCAACTGTGTCTGCCTGGTACCAGTTTGGCATGCATGAACTGTTCAGTGAAAAGCTGCTTCACATGAGTTCACTGAAGTCCAGTGAGGAGATTAATAGTGCTTACTCTATAGATTTTAAGAAGATCAGTTGCTGTTATGTAACTGGAAATCACAGGGGCTTGAATTAGGCCGAATATTACTGGTACTCTTCATTTTGTGGAGGTTTATTTTATGTGTTTGTAACTGGAACAGTGGAGCTGACAAACTGCAGAAACATGCAGGGAGTAGGTTGTAGTAATAGGTAATTACATGATTTGTTAAATAGAATAAGACAGCAGGCAAGTCATGACATGGAAAACAGTGGGATGGTCTATAATACAGTGTATTTGTACACCACAACCCAGTGTTGCTGCTATTAAGAAATTTCAGTGACGCAAAATAGTAAAGGAACATTTTTTCCGAGAACTTGGTCCAGTAGCTGAGTCAGAATCTTGGAGGTTCTCCAATCATATGAACAGGGACTTTCTCAAGAAAGATGCCTAGTCACCAGCTGAAAGATAAAGACAGATAAAACTCTCCAGACAGCATGCTTTCCAGTAATTCACATAATAAACGGTTCATTGAGTGAGTCAACAGTAGACTATATGTTAAACCAAAAGTCAGCAACAAACTGACCCATAGAGACGCTAATGCTGGCTTGGCTTGCTGCACCAGCGTCTGCGCAGTGACTTGCTCTCTGGAGAACTGCCCACCGGGCACTATAATTAAAATTGGGCAAAAACAGCTACATCAGTACTACAACAAATCATTTTTTACCTCACATGTGTTTTGTTTGGCATAGAGGTTTTTATTCATCTGAACATTTTAACATGAAAAAATACAGACTCTATTTTTTGACATAATACTCTAGCAGTATAATTCTAAAAATAGAAAAAAAAAACAGTTAAAGTAACATCTAAAGGCAACTATGCAAACATAAAAAACAGTCAATTAAAAACCTTCCAGTTCCAGATACAAACCCTGTTCTCTGAGACGTTGCACCCTTAATGTAAACAAATTTAAGTGTTGAGCTCACATTTCTGAGATTTTAACTCTTCAAAATACACACACTTGACACAGAGTCATCACAGAATGAGGAAGCATTCATCACTTTGTCTTGTGAAAGTAAAAGTCAGCTGGTGTGCCAGGTGAAATAAAGGCCATTAGCTGTGGGGAAGGGTCATTTTATCCCACAAACATATTGACATGTAGGTATGTCTTAAATAAACACAGGCATTTGTCTGGTTAACTATCAGCCAGTAAGGTCTAAGTTGGTAGAAGTGGTGGGGTTCTCCAGGGACTAGACAAGTCAAGAAAGCCAACACCAGATGTGTTTGTCCATTTGTTTGTGTCTTTGTATATGTGAGCGCGCGTGTGTGTGTGTGTGTGTCTAAAGTCTCTGAAGCCAGAGGGTATAAAGTCGGGATGAATTGTCTCAGCAACAGATGGTCTCACTAAAACTCCTCCCCCTTGTCCCCTCCATCTTCAGGAGCTCCGTCACTAAGTCAAGACAAAGGCAGCCACCTCTGACTGAGAGCTCAGAAGTTAACCAGGCAGAAATATCCCAAACAAAGGCCAGCTGGGACGCAAAGGGACACAAATATCAGACTTGAATCACCTGCTGTAGCACAACTGACTACTCTGACTAAACTATAGAAAACAATGTGTGAACTTCTCACATAATAATAATTGGAAAGAATCGTGCTCGCTTGCTAATGAAATACAGTCTTCACAGGGTTTAATTATCAGGTGTCAGTTAACTCTCGTGCCTTTGGTAACCAGGTGTTTTAATAGCCCCATTAAAAAAAACACAGCGGATGCTGCTGCCATGACATTTCCAGCTCGGGCTACTTTCAAATTCTTAATGCTGCATGTCACTGAGCATGTGTAGCCCTGCTGAGGCTGAACCGACTGACAATGGTGATCTGATCCACTGACACGGGCTGCACAGCGACGTCCCATCATGCTTTCTGACACAAGAAACCACTCGGGCTGAATGATGTGATCTCGGAGCTGGAGGCTTGAGTTTCTGATGCTTGCATAATGACATCCAACTCAGAGATTTGCTAATGAACATGCCTTAAATATTTAAGGGCATACACAGTACAAGGTGCCAAGGCTCTTTCTCTGCTGTCTGGCGTAGCATGAGCGCAGCGGGTATCAGGTGATCGCAACAGCCGGAACAAAAGAAAGCTAATTAACTCAGCCTGACTTGGACACAGTTGAACAATTAGTTATGATAAGCTAATTTCTTGGATCATAGTGTGGTTTCAGGGCGAGGTGAGTGGACGCCTGCCCAGGCAGCGGACAGCAGCGACCGGCTGCTGGTGTTGCAGTTAGGGCCGACTGCTGGCCAGGACAGACGCCTGGCTGAGGGATGAGTACAACCAACTTGATTCCTGAGAAGCATCTCGTTTGTTGCGGAGGATAAACGATTCCACCAGGAACACGCACAAATGCCAAACTAACTGTTGCTGCTTTCACTTATCATTTTCAAATTTCCTACTTTCTGTCTCTTCATTTATGTTGTTTTTTATATATTTGCTTTGCAATCTTGTTTCAGAACAAACTAAGTTCTCTATGACCTACTGTATCCCATTTAGAAACAGATGTTCAGAAATACATCTAACATTCTGGTTCAGCTCGCCTTCTACGCCACGAATACCAAGACGTACCCACATTATCACAAGAATAGAGAGGCGTAAGGCCTAGTCACTAACCCTTTGTGACCCTACT